CTGAACGATCAGCTGTCACGTGGCAACCAACAGTAGCCGCTGGGCAACTGTTCCTCCGACTCAGACTCCTCTTGCTGGCTAGAAACTGCAGCTCGTTTGTCATATACAGCTAGTTCTCTCGTCGGCCTTCATATCCAAGTCGAGTTCCGTTCCCTATGAGTTGATTTTTGATCTATCCGTCGGCAAGCTCTTTGTCGGTTCGCAGCTCAGATATGGCGTATTATGGGGTAGTAGGTCATTTAAATTCAAGGACAGGGATGAGTATGCAATAGTCTCATCAGCCCTTATTGTACCTCCTCGCGGCCACGATGCGTTTGGCCTATCCGAGAGCCATGGCCTGCCGTCAGACGCACACTCGGACATGCCGGAGATCTCACGTGCTAACTTTTGACCGGCGGTCATGACCGGGTCACACAGTGACCGGTCATCCGTCGTCTAAAGGCATGACCGTTGACTTGACCCGTAACAACGCTGGGTTCGGCACCGTATAGCACGCTATAGCGCGTTGTTGGTCTAACCTTGCAATTCAATATCGTACTTCGCTATATCCTCATATGATCTGGATTTCAATCGTCTACGCTCCACAACCAAAAGGCTGACAGGAAGGATGTATCAGAATCTCCTGTGCTGTCGGCCATTGCCACCAGGGCCCTGCAGCCCTTGCCCCTCCTTCAGGCATTTCAATTCCTCACCCAGAGGCCCTCATTCTCGTCCTTCTCTTTTGATACATCCCCAATGTCTCTGTTATTGTGGTGTTAGAGAATTCAGCTGCATTATGGAACATAGAAGAAGAATTTGGAGCGCGAGGTTCTGCACTGTGACGAGGCAGCTATCCCTCGGGTCACAGTATGCTATGTGTCAGGCTTGCAGAGAGTTCACATACCCTGGAGAACCTCTTCACGAAGTTTGCTCCTGGCCTGTCAGGTCTTGTATTCCGAACACACAGTCTGTTTAACCCAGCAATGCTCATGTGCATCAAGTTACTCTTCATTGCAGTACATAGAGTTACTCTAGCTCAGTCATATGGTGATCACAGACCATACTCAGTGCAATAGGAAACTCATACATATCTTCGATAGACTTGCTACTACGTGAAGTTACAAATTCCCGGTCTGATCATGCTTATTAGTAGACCCGCGGCTCGCCTTGCCACCGCGTTCTGCAATCACGTGCTGACCTTTGACCATTCGGTCATGACCGATGACCCGTGCCATCAACGGTCATGACTCGGGGTCATAACGGGGTCATAACAACACTGTTCCACGGTTGCTCTTGGTGTCCGCAACCAAGTCTGCGTGTGCCGACCCTAAACACGGGCGCCAAATGCCAATCGCACCGATTTTCCACCCCATTCTCGTCTGCGTCAGGATCGCTTCTCTGCTGCTTGTGACATTGTGCTTTCAAACAACTCTCCTATCCTCATCTACCTTTCTTGGTCCCTTTTTCGCCATCATGGTTCCTGGGGTGTGCCTACAGCCTGAGTAGCAGGATTATCTGACAGAGTACAGCGGTCTTGGCATCGGTGGAGAGTTGGCAGCAGGTAAGTCGCAATGTTTGGATCTGTAAGCTTCTCAGGTAGGTCCAGCTATCTGTGTCTGGCTATTCCAGGTAAGTCCAGCGAAGGGTGTCTGGCCATTCCAGGTAAGTTGCTGTTCTCAAGTCTCCGTGTCTTCTTAGGGCCAGGTAAGTCTTCCCTGCTACTTCCCCTGAATATCTGTCTCCATCCCTTCGAGCTCCCACATTTATCCTCAGCATCGGTATGAGTGTATTGCAGGAGTCGCGAGGAAGATATGGCCAATGAGAAGTCTGGAGGGTCACGGGCTTGTATTATACTTTGGATCCCCATATGTACTATGTACTCAGCGCGCCGTAATGAGACTGTAAAGCTGCATTCTGCAGCGTGTTTTGAGGCATTATCGCACTGCGTTACGAGTGATGTCTTATCGATATCCTGCGGTGAGCGAGAATCTAGCACTCGGAAACCGCGCAAATTCCCCTGTTCCACAGGTGTAAATCCTGCTTTTCCAACACACGGTCAAACCTGGGGTTTTCTCCTGTCCGAGACCACGCCAAATTGACCGTGGAAATCGGTCATTTCGATGTCCTTTTTCCTCGTCCGAAAAGCCAGGTCTAACCGAGGTTTCGGAGCACGTTTCCCAGGCACGACAGGGCATTTTCCTCGGTTGCCCACCCGGAGTTTTCCACAGCCCTCTGTCTCACAGTGGCGTGCGCGTCTGTGGCTACTCAATGTAAAGTACATTATCCAGTATGGAACAAATGACCAACAAACAAAGTATGCTAGTCCAAACTGCTATCCAGCTGTCAGCCCCCTTCCGGCCATCACCAAGTGGATCTGCCGGACATGTTCGGATGCAACTCCTTTAGCCCGGACCTCACGTCTTGTGCCCTCGCAGGTCCGCTTTCATCCCATTTATAAACAAAGCAGATTGTGCAGATGCATATACCATGGGCAGATCTACGACACCAGGCAACATCCCACCTCGTCGAATCTACAGGGAGCTGCGGCGTAAGCTGAAGTGTCCATCACGCGCTGTTTCAATTGTGCGACGGCCACTTCCCCGCCTTTGGTCACAGGAAGAGCTAAGCATCTCCTTATCCTCGAGCATCGTGCACGTCATCCTCGTATGTGTTGTGTTATGACGAGGTGAGTGGCTCTGTCATGATATTTTCACTGGTAGCATCTTCGCCAGATCAGTGTGCAAACGTTGATACCGATAACAAACCGTCTTGCCGCAAGACTTCACAATAGTGACGGTTGTGTATGTCTGACGAGTTAGTCACTCGTGCCGAGAAGCCCCGGTCAATAGCACTCAACCTAATCGTATACTTATGTGTGACAGATCTCGCTGACGGCGTCCGGTTGAACCACAGTGGTACATCCAAACGACACAGGTCATATTCTCAGTTGGCCGCACTCCTCTTCTTGGCCTGTCCTCCCACCATCTCCGCGCCTGCTTCCGAGTCTTCCTCAATCCCCGTGTAGGGCTTTGAACCATGTGTCATAGAGTGCTACCAATCGGACCTCCAGTTCATCCTTCGGTGCCACCCCAGCCGCATTCCACTGATGTTGGGAGAGTACATCCATGCTCGGGAACAAACGTGAAGCACACCTCCGCAGCCTGGCGATCGCGTCGGCATCGAGGACAGTCTGCCCGACGTCAACCTCAACATCTGTGACTTGGAAGGACTTCTCTTGCCAGCGGACAAGAAAGATGGATAGAGATTCAGTTGAGGGTTAGGCTTCTCTTGGGTTTTTGGTGAGAGATGGCTGTCATCGAGCGGGGGCAAGTCATGCTCATGCTCCATGCAGAGCTAACTATGTCAAATCGAAAAACGTCCAGAGGGGGCGGAGTGTACTAGAAGGAGGGCGAGCAAGCTCGAGATTGAGCCATCTCTCGGCCCACTCCCCACACTCCAACTAGACGTCTTCAGGAGACATGTAAGATGCATGTGAGCTGATGCCTAACTATGGCCATGTCCAAAGAGGACCGTCCTAGAGGTATGGCGATTGTGAGTTGACGAGACAACGTTGAGCGCTGCACACAGCTCGATGTTGCCTGCCTGCAGCTCGGATTGCTCTACAGTACTTACTGCCGCAGCGATGCTCTATCCGGGTAAGTACTGGCCATGTTGGATTGCACCGAACGAATCATAGTACTACGATAGTAACTCGTCTCTGGTTACAGACAAATCCTCGACACGAAGTCATAGTGCCAACGCATCACGGCACGACGGATGCCTGAAAGTGTAGATGCCATTACATGGTGGTTTGGTTTAGCTACCAGGTAAGTCCTCGTAAGGGATGCGTAGGTACTATACATATACAGGGTAAAATGCGAGAACCATTAGTTCCGCTGTGCGACGCCAATGTTATGTACAGTGCGCGGTGATCAGTGTCCATCATTGTAGACTGTGTCTGAACAAAACGATACATTTCTCGAGAGCGTCCCGGTTCACTTCGACGACCGGTACTTGCGCCGGAGATCCTCGTAGGCTTCCAAGATCCTCTTATGCTCCTCACCGCCTTCCTCAAAGCCAGTAACATCCGCGACGACCTTCCCGATGCCCTCGCTCTCGATACGCTTCTGAAGCTCCGCGGCCTGCCTATCGTCGAGAGCGTCATACAAGAAAGCCGCGGCGATACCCTTCGACAGGTTGTCCGTCGGCAGCCCGTACTCGAGCGCCATACTTGCTGGACCCAGCAGTCGGTCGCCCTTCGAGAGCTTCCGGAGGGGCTCGCGGCCGACGCGCACGACCTCGTCCTTGAGGCGCGGGTTCGCGAAGCGCTCCAGGATCTTATCGACGTACTGGCGGTACTCCTCCTCATCGAACTTGTGTCTTCGAACGAGCGCGGCGCCAGCTTCGTTACAGAACGCGGCGCGGACGGTGTCGTGAACCTCGCTGTCACGGATCGCAACGTCGATAGTGTCCAGGCCCTTCAGGTAGCCGAGGTAGGCCGTCATGGCGTGACCACAATTGAGGGTAAAGAGCTTGCGCTCGATGTACGCCTGGAGCTCCGTCGTGAGCTTCACGCCCTTCAGGTTGACGGGAGCGTGCGTACGACGCAGGGCATCCTTATCCACCACCCACTCGTAGAAGCCCTCGACGCCGACATCGAGGGAGCTCCCGCTCTGGGATGGGTCAAACGGTGGGACGATGCGGTCGACAGAGCAGTTGGCGAAGCCGACGTTCTCTTCGACCCAAGCCTTGTCCTCTTCAGGCAGGTTTGAGAAGACGTGGTCGCGCAGAAGCGAGGTCTGGTTGACCATGTTCTCGCAAGCAATGATGTTCAAAGGCCCGCCCTTCGCCTCGCGGCGGGCGTGGATGCCCTTCGCGATCGTCGCAGCGATCTTCTCGAGAATGGTCGGGCCGACAGCAGTGGTGACGAGGTCGACGGTTGAGTCTGCAAACTCGTGAATGACGTCGTCTGACGTCGAGACGACACCGGAGACGTTGGACACAGAGTTATGGTATTCTTCGTCCTCGTCGAGAATGAGTACGTCGTACGAGTCCTGGTCATTCAACTGTTGGATGACCTCCTTGTTGACGTCGGTGAATACAACATGGTAGCCTGAATCGACAAGAAGAGGTCCGATGAAGCCGCGACCAATATTTCCGGCCCCGAAGTGGATTGCTTTATGCTGGGGTGTGGACATATTGCACTAGGAATGAGAGACATCAGAGACATGTCTGCAGGCTATGGGTGGAATACTTCTCACATATGCTGATATGTTCAGTCGAAGTACCGCAGGGAGCGGCGAGCAAGAGGGAACACCTGTGGGGCAGACGTCAATACTTATAAGAGCTCCTGGTTAGGTATGCGCCCATGTCCAACAACCTATGACATCAGCGCAGCCTAATACAGCACCACATCTCAATGGTGTGAATGAGGATGAGTTAAGGGATGCATGAGGTGCTTATGTCAACGAAAGTTGTGGCCTTTCGCGGGATGGAGTCTCCAGTCGCGAGTAAGCAGTACTAGGCAGGGGCGGCGCAGGAACGACCTTGTTTGGAAATTGGGCGGGCAGGAGCGCCCGAGCGGCTTGAAGCCGTACTCCCATCACGACAAGCGAAGGCATTTCCAATAGCAATGACATGGCTGCCGCGACACTTGACACCCTCGCCTGGCTTCTCTTTCGCCGCGAATAACGACATCGACGATGGCAAGGGCCCTTTGGACACTGTGGCTGTTGTACCTCTTCAACTTGGCCGCCGTCCGAGCAAGTCCCCACTTTGAGGCGGGCAAGGATGACCAGGTCCTCATTGCCGACTTCCCACCTCCCGTTGAGCGGCCAGGAGGCGCTGATGTTTGGACTGTCGGTGACGTGGAGACCGTGAAGTGGTGAGTTGGACTGCTGGCTGGAGGATTTGACCATTTGTGTTTATTCGCTGCCGCTGGATGCTTCTGCATGCGTACAGGTCTACGAAGGGGCTCAACTTCACTCTCGACCAAACAGGGACGATCTTGCTGGGCTATCTCACGACCGATGGTTCGCAAACACTTTTTGTAGGTAAGTGAGCTTGCGTCCGACGTCTCAAGTGTGCGTGCGCATTCCAACGCTTCTATCAAGATCAACCTCTGGCGGGTAACTTCACCCTAGCTAGCGGCGCCGTTAACGTCGTAGTCCCTAAGGTGCCATCCGGAAATGCCTACTTCATCATTGGTGTGTGTCATGACGAACAAGTACGACCTGTTTTCGCTAATGCAGCGCCTGATACAGTCCTCGGAGACGCAAACAACTGGGGCCCGTTGTTCTCCATCATCAATCCAAACGAACCATCTTCATCCGTCGCTCCCACTTCTCTTGCTTGGATCTCAGGCTCTGCCGCACCCAGCATTACGGCTGTGGTCAAAGCTTAGTCTCGTCGACATGTCTGCATTCCCGACTACTCGAGCGTCGTGAACAGCGCTGTAGGCTGTCCCCAGGGGCGCTGGTGTCGTATTATTGGTGGTTCCTTTGGGTTTGTTCTTGAATCTGATATGACACATCCGAAGGGCAGCGTGCAACTCTAAAATCCAGGTCTCTATCTGGATGACAGTGCTCTTACCTATTCAGACAACCTCAAGCTTCGACTACTCTCCTCGGAGTACTATTGGACCAGCTAGAAGACGATTACACATGAGATGCCAACGCGCCGGCACCGGTCGAATGCCTCATGGCAGGTCATCTGCATGCGCCCCTACATCTGTCTCGGAGAGTAAGCAGCCAGTAGGTCAATAACGCCCTTTGTTGTGGGCGTTTGTTTCCACCCCGGTGCGTATCGGTCTCCTGTATGCCACCCTAGGCCCCAACACTCCGCAATGGGACATTTGAGCGGGCTGGATCTTCATTGTAGAGTATAGGGTGGCTTTCACCATTGTATATCATGGTCCGACCACAGCGGCCACGCTTAGCGGCTCTATCGCCGCAGCCCAGATATAACACAGGCCCTCGATAGACGTGTGGATTCCATCGTACCTTACCTGCATCATCATCATACTGCACGAATGGCAGCTGTTCTTGCGTTGGTGACCTTCAGCCTCGATGCGACGAGACCCATGAAGCGTGCCGCCGTCTTCGCGTCGTGTGCGGGCTTGGCGCTTTGCGCAAACGCCTCGAGCCTGCAGCTAGCCGCATGCGAAGCAACTCGTCCCCCATGTTCCTGGTATGTTGGCCTGATCGCCTTTCTCGGCGTCGTGCATTGAATTCAGACTCAACATGCCCATCGCGCGCCATGCACAGGACCGGAAATAATGTCAATGCTAGCGCGGCGTTGCTCGTGACCGTACATATCCGAGACCTGTTCTCCGCTGCCGCGAGCCAATCAGACGTTGTGCATTGCTGTGCGTTCTACTCGCCGCCATCGCCGTGCCTTCTTCCAAGTCTCAAGCCTGCCGCAGCTTGGGGAGACTCCGACACGGACACCGCCCCTCTCGAAACCTCGGATGTCTTCGACCTGGATCAGAGCCCGCCGTCGTCCCCAGCAATGCAGTTCTCGCTTCTAGCCATCTCGGACCGGCGAGATCGTGCCTCCTACGACGCTGGCATCTGTCTACCACGCCCGGCGGCGGCGCCGGCCATGCTCGAGCACCTGCTGCCATCAGGCCCGAGCATGAGCGCGAGGGCAGGCAAACGCGCGCTGCGGCGCGCGTCTGCTTTGACGTCTGTCGCCACACGTGTGTCCGCGGACTTCGCACTGGGCAGCCCGGACGCAGGCAGCTCGTTCTTCGGCGCGCTATACGACTCGTACAGCCTCTGGGAACTCGCAAGCGTTTTCTCTGCCATTGCGTGGCTGCTCGTCTGTCTCGCTGCATGACACGACTGTGGCTCATCTCCGCCCCCCCTTTGCCCCCTGCTCTATGCTTGCACGCACGCGCGCACCTACATCGTTCTTTTGTTCCCGGTAGCACAGCCCGGACAGATCGTACATCATGAATCACGTTCAAGTGTCTGTATCCATCTTACGCCACGCCTTTGCCTGTAGTTCTACGCTGTATTGTACCCTCTTTCATCTACACCTAAGTATAAGCAATCTAACCGATCCTGGTTCAGCGCCTAATCCACAACGCCGTTCACACATGCTTGATCGGTACTACGTAGCCCCAGTCACCGTGCGGGCTTGCGTAAGTAAGTACTCGTCGCCGCGAACGTGCTCTTACGGCGAAGCGCGCGCAGCCTTGAAGCCTCGCGACGAACATGCTGCGCGGAGGTAGAGCATCCGATCAATCCCGGAGCCCATGAACATGCCGTTACTGCCAATGCCCGTATAGCCGTTCCTTGTTGAGATGGCGGTAACAGTGTCTCAAATGGATGTCAACCTGTGCTGCAAGTTCTCGCGATCGTGGGCGTTGCCTAGTACTGCCTCCGTGCAGTCGTTCAGGAGCGTTTCCAAGGTGCACTATGCCTAGGTCATGTCCAAGCAATAGTTGGTGCCACAGAGACCCATATCATGGGGATGCTATATCTACATACTGCACACCACTCCACGTCGATCCGTGCAATTGACGAAGCTCGATCATACAAACCTTGGTCTAGAACTCGATCGCACACGGAGGTAAATGGTGTGAAGGGCAAGAACAGGAAGCCCGCGAAGCTACATTGGACGCGGGGAACCTAGTACCGATCAAGAACATAGTCAACTATACGACATGTAGTGCTACACGATCACTTCTACAGCTAATGTGTTTTTACATTCTATCGCTTCTATTGTGTTAGATGGAAACAAGGAGCCAAGAACGGCAAAATGGTAAAAGGTTGCGCTGAATGCATAGAAGGGTAATCAAAAGTCGTACTGTCGTAAGACGCGTGAAGGTGAACGTAAAGAACATCAAGCAAGCTTGATTGAGATGATGATCACGATGGAAGGAATAGGTGAATTGTGCGAGTCGCGTCTGCTAGAGACGCAACACTTCCAAGGACCAATAATTGATGGTGCGACTTGAGAGCCGGTACGCTCCGCGGGAGCGCGAGTCTAAGGTGTGCAACCTTCCATATCCGAGGATGGGAGGACCGGGATAGAGAGACCGATGCTGAGAGAGACCGAGCTTGGGACCACGAAATAAATATCCCGAATAAAAACCGGGTCTCTAGGACGCGTGCGGATTGTCGATAAGCTTAGGATATGGATGATGGATGCGGATGGCGCAGAGAGGAAGCGCGGAGGGCGGGCAGCCGTCAGATGCTACGACGGGCGCTCAGGGTTCGAAGCTCTTGTTCTCGTAGTGCCACGAGACCTTGAGGACACCTGTATCGAGCGAACCGAGTTCCTCGAAGAGAGACGGGCTCATGTCTGGTGATGCGTCAAAGGCAAAACCACGAGTCAGCAATGCCCTCATTCAAGAGACGGGGAACACGGAGCGCGGAGGAAGACTCACCGATGTCGTAAGAACCGCAGCCCGGGCATTCATCACGCACCAGGCCGTACGCGCTCTTGCCATTCGCAGTGTTCGTGATGTGCATCCACTGTGCAGGCATTGAACGTTAGTGTCGTGCGGTTTCATGAAATAAAATGAAGTGCAGGCGCCTACCTGGTTGCAGTTGCCGCCAGAGCCGTAGATGTTGGAGGAAATGGCGACGATCTTGTCGTTGTTGTTGTTATACTCGCCGCATGCACCGAGACCGACGTCGAACCAAGTTCCCTGCATTACAAAGATGAGGTGAGCGCAAGGCACGGAAATAGGGAAAACGAGGATACTTACACGACCGCTGTGCGTGATGCGCTTCTCCAAGTTAACAGGAGCAGCGAGGACAGATGCGAAAAGCGCGAAGGCGACAATGAAGAGCGTGTAGAGCGACATCATGTTGGGCAAGGGAAATGGCACGGGCGTCGGTGTGAGCGCTAGGTGCCGAGCGGGTCCTAAGGGATGGGGGAGGGGCGAGAGGCGAATATAGAGCTAAGATAGGGACAAAGGCGAGTAGGACTCGTGAGGAATTTCGAGGGACATCCCATTGGCCCCTTTATACGTTGAGACATGGCGGACGCCATAGAGAAAATGCGTGGATCACTTCATTTTTATGCCCTGAGAAGACAACCTGCCAAGCCACAGACAACATCCACAGGGCAGGAAGATGCGCCGGGTCGAGACCGGACACAGCGCCCGGAGGTACTGGCGACGGTGCCACCCTGGAAAAATTAGGGTCGGCGTTTCCATTGAATGACTTGTGGCATCCCGGTGGAGGAGGAGCGAATCAGAGCAAGTGACAGTTGTGCCGGAGGTGTTGCCTACAGCTGGTAAATGGACGTAGTCATGAGTGAGGCACCCCGGACCCCGGCTCGGAGACAGAACGACATGTCTGTTGCTTGGCGGCAAATGGCGGCGGGTGGCGGATGTATGGTCGCGGCCAGTGCAGTCGTGCAGGCAACGTGTAATAGCGCGGCGCGCGGTGGGAGAGCATCAGCTAGAGCAACGCGTACGTACCGCCCGGACATCGTTGCGTTCATGGCCCGGGGACGGAATGGATGGAACCGACAGGAAACCCAAAAAGCATATTCGCAAAAGGAAATATCCTGATCACGCGACGGCTCCCTCGGCGCGTGGCACGTGCCCACCAGGAACGAGGGTTGTCGGTGTACATCGTGTTCCCGTCGGTGCCGAGGCGGTGCACAGGAAAAGAGTTCTATCCAACGGCGCTCTCAGCAACGAACACTAATCCCGAGGTAAGAAATGACGTTGCGAGAGTCTGGGCTCAGAAGGCGGGTCTCCACGTCCATGTGCAGGTCCGTAAGCGCTGTGGCGAATCACCGGAGCGTCCACAATAATCCTGCCAACAGGGATGTCATGGCTAGACGTTAGCAATGAGATTGTATTTTTTGGGATGATGGGCGCGCTCATCGCGCCGATGCAAACAAAACGGGCTTGCACACGCCGACGATATAACGCCATCGACCAGGACGCTTCTGGAGCCCCAAGGGTGAGGGCCGAGTGGGGGCCAGATGGCTACTTTGCACTCTCGCGAGGTCCCTCGATGCCACGCAAGTTGATGCCAAACCAAGGTCCACGCACCGTGAGAACCGTTTTGCATGCTCTATCTTGACCGGCAAGACCAACATAACACGCCGATGTTGAAGGTGGATCTAGAATGATGAGTATAATTTGCAGCACGTGCGACGTCTTGTGGTGGTCAATCATAGGAGTAATGAACGCAAAGATTGAGTGCCTAGAATTGTGGCGACATAACCGACTCACAAGCGAACCCGTGGATTAAGTACTCCGGGTCACGCCATCATTTGTCTGCCTAGGGAAATAACCCTAAGGGTGCCTCCCGGGACGGTCACCGGCTCTGTCGGATGTGGGAGTACGTCAACAAATAGTCCTTACCCTCATTCCCTGCTGACACATTCAGGACACAGATAGCGACCGAGGGTGCAAGAAATGCCCTTTGCCCTATCATCCGCATAGAATACCCAAAGCGAGCCTGATCATATTCAAGCACGCGGTGGGCACGCGGTAACGTCGCGGTGTTGGGACGGAGTTTGTAGGCTGTGTAGACAAATGTAAGGGTCAGTCCAATTGATGGGGAAACTACTCGTAAAGCTGGTCCCGCAGGAGTCTGACGAAGACTACGGGGTTTGTAGAGCGGAAAAGGGTGGTAAAGAACATGACGAGATGTAAAGGCATCTAGTGCTGTCGATGCATGGTAGCACACGATGCATGGCTGCAAGCTCGGGCGGAATTCATGTATTCATTCAAGAGACATACCTTACGGAAGATAGTCCTCGACGCCAAATGCGGGCGGCGTGGGTCGATCAGGTGTTCATAGTTCAGAAGTGCCAAGATACTTGGAGCCCTACACACTCGATGAGTGTCGGATGGTCGCAACATAGAAAGTGATACACGAACCTCGCCAAAGAGGACTGGGTCCAGCTTGCGCATGAACTATAGCACAGCTGAGCGAGTTCATGCAGGATAAGTCAGAGCTGAGAGGGGGATCGCAGGTATTTGGGTGAATTCTTATGTGCGTCTCGAACAGAGGCAGCAGCAGCTATAGAGCAATGAAGCACAAGTATGGGGTTGGTGGACAAGATGTCAGCAGCGAAGCGTATAGCCTGCCCCGCCTATGCAAGGCTCTCTGAGCTCTGCTGCCACGTCGAATTGCATCGCCGATTGACGGGATGCTACTCACATCCCTCGGCTGCCACCAAGGCAACCACCAAGGAAGCGTACAGAGGTTCTATCCCCTAAAATGTGATGCATGCGCTACTAACCAGCGGTGGTATCGTCAAAGTTGATACCCCACCTTGCCGTAGCCAGGGACAGCGTTCGACCGGGTCAGTCCGCCAAAAACGTCAGAGGAGAACATATGCAGTGGATGGCCCGATGATGCCATTTGGATTGTCGAGCAGCGGAGATATCTTCAAAAGGACATGGAATGCAAAGGTCGAATCAAGATACTCAGAGTTGGGATAGACGAGAAACACAACATGGTTGGGAACGCTGTGGAACGGCATCAAGACACCAGAAGTCGACACGCTCTTGGAAGTGCTACGAGCGCCCGTTCGGCAATCCCCCTGGAGAACGCCGGGTGGCCTGGACCGGGCCTACCGCACGGATCACCCCTCCAAGCCTAAGTAGGTGCTCTCGAACACCGTCCAACGACTGTCTTCTGTGTACTCAGGACACAAAGATGTAACCACCATGTGCGCTCCGACTCAGCTGTCATCAGAATTATTGGAATCAGTCAGACAAACGGGTGTATTCGAAGTATATTGCACAAGGAGCAGTTCCTATTCGGGTACTGCGGAAGTTATAGCCCGATCAGAATGGGTACAGCAATCGCGATCCAGTCCGAGGCGCCGCCACACCATCTCAGCTTCCACGCATACAACCCAATCCTTGTCAATTAAGCCTGCTCCTCTCAGAGATTCTTACAACTATCGCACGAGAGTCTATTGAATCGTAGACACACTCCAATCATACTTACACATGGAAAGAATGGCCGGAGTGAGCAAGGGACAGACCTATGGTCAACATCTTCCCGTGGGTTGTCCGACTCTCCCACAGACTCCGAGGCTCCGCATGGCGACTCAATCCGCCTTTGACAGGACCAGGTTGAGCGAATATCGACGCTGACCGATTCTCAGTTAGAGCTCCTCGAGGACGTAAGCTCCAACACCCGGAAAGAGTGTCCATGTCCAACCACTTTTGCTGATAGCTCCTCTAAACCCAGGTACGCGATCTCCATGCGCAGCGGGCTGCGCTTGAGCGTGAATACGCTACGAAATTGCAGCTCCTCGTAAGAAAGGCTTCCGATAGGAAAGCAAAGAAGATGCCAGCACTAGTCGTGGGTAGCGAGCCCACCAAGGCTTGGGACGAAAATTCAATTCAGCAAAGGTTACCCGTCCGATTGATCATCATGGGAAGTTTCTAACGTTGTCATTTTTTTCTCAGCACTCTGGAGAGGGCCTACACCCAACTCCTCACCGCCATTAGCGACACCGCTCAGGACCACATCAACCTCGCCGACTCCTTCAATAGTCAGATCATCGAGCCGTTAAAGGCCACTGAGCGGAAACATGAGGATGCAAAGAAGAAGCAGATGCTGTTTTATCAGAAGCTCTTACAAGACAGGGATCGCGCCTATGCGGACCGCATCAAGGTCGGTTGGGCTCGCTAACCGTTCTCGTGCCACGTCCGCACATGCTCACCTCGTATCGTGCAGAGCAAACAGAAGGTCCCCACCCCCTATTTACCCCACTTCTACGCAGTCCTGACCGTTTAACAGTACGATCTTGAGTGCTCTGAAGTCGATGCCTACCGACAGAAGCAGGTAGATATATTGTGCCTTCTTCTGCTTCCACGTCGCGCGGCTCTCCTTATTTTACGTGTAGGAACGTTCTGCAGACGACCGCCATGCTGAGAGGGCGGCGAGGCAATACGAGCAGCAGCAGGTTGATATGCTCAACAGCAAGAAGTATGCCCTTTCATGTCAGCCTTCACCCAATGCCGTACCTCTAACCCAATTGAATGGCACTCAGCGCGTACTTGATATCTATCGCCGTCGCCAATAAGGTCAAATCGAAGTTCTATAACGAGGATCTGCCTACTTTGGAGGACGTAAGTGCCATTCTGTTCCCAATTGGCGCCTTCGGAGGCGCTTCACTGATGTTGCCAATTTCTAGCAATTTCGTGAGTTGACACGCAGCACTGGTACGACGTCCATAGAGGGTCTCACCTCTCTTCGCAGAGGACCTACATACACGCCTGGTGACTGGCTTCGTCAGCATCCTCAAGAACGCGCAAGCCATTCAGCAGAAGCACCTCGATGTCGTGCGCACCCACCTGACTGCATTCGAGACAGCGCTGGATGCCGTCAATCCCGCCGCAGACCAGGACCTTTTCATCGAACACAACATCGTGCCCTTCTCGCCACCCTCCGATTGGGCGTTTGAACCATGCACTAGCCACTACGATACTGTACGCCATGACAGACAGCTGCTTACCATTGCCATCGGCTGATCGTTATCAAGGGCGAGATGAGTGTGGATCCAGCTCCAAAGGTCTATTTGCAGAACAGACTGGCGAGATGCCGAGGCAAGCTCCAGGAACTCGAGCCCGTATTAACCTCGAAGCGTAAGTATGGAGTCCTCGCCCATACAGGCTAGCTCTCTTGCTTGCTCTCAGTCATGGACATAGTGCGACCCTAACTCATTTCCTCCTGACACTGGCAGGCAAAGACACGGAGCAACTCGCTAAACTGGTGGAGGCTTACACTGCCGACAACGGCTTGGGCAACGTTGACGAGGTCCTTGACGTGAGCACTCCTTGGCCTATGTGGGTGCATGCGAATGGATCTGCGGTGACTGAACACGGCTCGCTGCGTATTCATGACGTGATATTTCACAGAACTACCTCGACGCACAACACGGGCTCACCTTCTATTACACCTCGGACGCTGTACTAACCACTGAGATAGAGACCATCTCTTCTGCGCTAGGAGGTAGGAGTCCCTTCTTCAACCCTTTCCCAAGGTGCTCGCTTCCGTCTTGTCGGTTAACACGTGTGGTTTTCGCACCAATGGGCCTCCTTTCCGATCACCTTCTGGAAATACTACTGGCAGGCTGAAACAACATCACGTTGAACGGTGTTCTTTTGAATAGGAGATGAAGGCGCGCAAAACCCGCATTCCTTCAAGAGCACCTCCTTCTCGATCCCTGCGACGTGCGCTTATTGCAAGGTTAGTCCTTGCCCTGTCACAATTCGCATCCTCACAGTTCCTGCTCTTCCCATATCCTCCTAGTCCTCTATATGGGGTCTGAGCAAGCAAGGGAAAACTTGCAAGACGTGCGGGATTTCTGTTCATTCCAAGTGTGAGCTCAAGGTCAGCTCCCGGTACTCTGGCGTTCTACATTAGATCATTGTTGACGTACTCCCGCGCAGCTCCCTGCAGACTGTAGCGGCACTCGTCACGGGGGCCGTGGTCACCAGCATTCGGACTCTTTGTCTGCGAGTCTTTCTAGAACGGCCTCCGTCATCTCGAACAGCGACTCGAGTAGTCAGCCCACGAAATCATTCCTAATCCATCCATAGCAAATCTGATTGCCCTCTTGATAGTTACATCCGGGCAAGCCACTCCAACTCCGTCTTCTTTCTCACCCTCAACCCACTCGGCGGAAGAAAGCGGGCCAGCGGCTCGGGTTCTCTTTGACTACACGCCCACCTCGCCGTTTGAGTTGGCAGTATTCGGTATGCTGTCAAGAAGTTGCTCTTTGGACGCTCTAGCTGAACATGTGCGATTTAGCCGAGAGTATAGTGCATGTGTTGGAAGAAGATGATGGCTCCGGGTGGGTCAAGGTAGCCGACGACTCCGGAGGGAAGGGGCTCGTCCCTGCATCGTACATCGAGGTCCTTGACGGCGCTCAGACGGCTAGTCGAGCGACACCGTTCCTGAGCCACTCGCAGCCAAACGTCGAATACGGTACCGTCTTTGATCCATATCTCAGTGCTTCTTTGTCTCCCATCTGGGCTGACCGCTCGCGCGTAATGCAGTTCGCGGCATCTACCCCTATAAGGCACAGGGTCCTGACGAGATCGACGTCGAAGAGGGCGCGCTGATCTACCTAACCGATGGTCCGAACGGGGGGCGCAACTACGCCGATGGATGGTGGGAAGGTAGGCGGCAGCACCGTAGGCGCCGCGCCTTTGTGCTGTCGGAGACTGATGGGGCCTTCGATCATGATGTCAGGGACAGACTCAAGTGGGAAGAAAGGCATTTTCCCGAGCAACTACGTAAGTGACCGTTCTGATAAGTCGCGGGGAGTGCTTCGGACTGAGTTTCGCGACATAGGTGGAAGACGTACAGTAGCATGATCGACGAGCACCGGCCGAGGGCCCGCGACATTCACGACGATAGTGCGCAGCGCGGAGGCGATTTTCACCGTTTGTCTGGACGTGGGCGCGATATAGGTCGTACGAACATCCTGGTTGCGATGCTCCAATGTCCTTCCTTCTGGGTTGCGCCGGTATTTTTCGTCGATTTCGTCGATACGATGCCTTACATAATATATGGTTTCACCCCGAAGTCCGGACGAACGGCATTCTTGCACGTCGTCGCGCGTACCAAGCCTCGCAGGGACCCCAGAAAGATGTTCTGATGAGATGCTGAGATCGAAATATAAGCAGGCGGTCGAGACACGTTCACGATCAAAACAGTCCCGCGAACCGCCTACAACGGCAGCTGATCTTAGCGACCTCCTGCAAGACCTCATATTCGTAATATCTCATTTGTCGTCTGCCAGTTGATTCGCCGTGTAGGGAGAGGGTTGACGCGAAGTCCGCGCGCGGCACAGGACATTAAAATACTAGGCGGCGAAAGACTTCAGGTGCTGCCTCGCGGTTCCGACAAGCTCGTTTTATCCTGCGTAAGGAGCGCTGTTCGACAGCGAGATGCATCCCAGTGAAGAACGTGTCCTTCTTGTCTTATCATGTCTTGAATGTGTAGGCAGACTGAGCGTTCGCAAGGTTGGGGGTGAACTTCGTTCAAGCAGTGAACACGTCGTCTTGGTCTAGGCCTATAGCACCCCTGAAACGAGGCATAGAAGGGCGACCGGCGCAGCGAGTTGTGGTGGTATCGGAGCCAGCAAGTTTAGGCATGTAGTTACGAGAGAGCGGGTTTGAATTCGGAGATTCTTCTCCGGTGGAGGGTTTGCGTATTGGGCTCTATCGAAGCGCGCAGTCGATCAGGTAGGGCGGCGCGCGGTCGAAGTCCGGACAGAGTATCAGGAAAGCGTTACCGCGCAGGAGCCCTCATGAGCTCACCGCAGTGGCTAGCTTGCTCGCCGCGCATGCACGAGGCCCAGAAGGACCTCTCATCCCAATCAATGGCATGAGTAACGGAGTGTTCGTACCGGAAAGAAAAATGGGGGCCCTGAGCGGAGGGTGAAGTGATACCTATGGATATATAAACCTGCACGTCTTGTTGACCACCGATATTTTCGTTCCCCTCTCCTCCACCATCGTCGGTTCGTACTCTGTCCTATACCCCAAACCACACCTCTCAACCTAGGCGGCGCTACTCACCTGTAAGGACGAGCAACTACTGTTCCACTGATTGTTGGACGTTGGGACTGGACGCTAAGTGCTCTCTTTGGGTATTCCGGTAGCGCCTTCTGCGGGGGTGGTTTTGGCGGCTACCCCGACCAAAGGCATCGTTGTCGTCCGAGTCCTCATCGCAATAACGGGGTATCTGATGACCTCGCGGATACGTGTCTACTCAATGCATCGCTATTGCGATGGATGACTGCGACGACGATCCCAGCGGTGGGACCGATAGGCAAGGTCACCCCCACAGAATCCACGGAAAATCTGACGTCGGCGTCAGCTTGTGGAAGGGCGCCGTGATATTCTCACTCACCTTTCTCAATCCATTGACGTCTACTTGCCTTGCTGACGATTAATTCCGGGCCACATGACAGAACATTTTTGCATCTTCACCATTGGGAGAAAGAGCGGAATCGGATCTCGTCCGTAGCGTTGTATAGCGTCGTATACCGTGAAGTTCAACTAATAGTTGAGCCATGTCATGGAAGCAATATAAATGTGTATTCCAAGTTTTCGTGACATCGAGTCGGCGGCCGTCCATGAAGGCTTTGAAATGGCATGCCGGCGGCCATAGCATTACTAGTTGTACACTATGTAATCCGCGGAGCTGGCACCTAATGTCACCTATCACGAGGCAACTTGGAAGGCCAGAATATATGGATAGACAAACCGATGTCGGAAACAAGACCTATCCGACCTGCTGCATTTCATTGAACCTTATGAGGTGAGAACAAGAGATGGCGAGACCAAATGGCGGAGCGCTTGGACTCCCGGCCGAGAGAGGCGCTTACTAGAACCAGGAGAAGAGGCGCCGAGCTGCATTGCCAAACAGGGCGCAAACACTTGGTAATGTGACGCCGATTCCAGCGACCGACGCCTTCCCGGCTTTCCTTTCGCACAACGATAGAGCAAGTACTCTGGCTTGTGAACTTCCTGCGTCGCGACATGTCACGAATACGGGACGTTTGGGCACCCAACCTGGAGACGGAGATGGCGAACATCCGAGAACTCATCGAGAAGTACCCCTACATTGCCATGGTCCGACCAAGTCTCGCTGTTCGCCACTGCCGTACTGCTCACTCACGCTCTTTCCTGTACCGGTGTGCATGTAGGATACGGAGTTCCCTGGAGTTGTGGCACGGCCAATAGGATCGTTCAAGACGTCGTCAGACTACCACTACCAGACGATGCGGTGTAATGTCGACCTGCTCAAGATAATCCAAGTCGGTCTCACGCTCGCGGACGAAGAGGGCAACTTCCCACAAGAGGTCTCAACATGGCAGTTCAACTTCAGGTTCAGTGCAAAGTACGTAACTTCACTCCAACCCTGCCGTTCTCCTGCGTCCTGTAGTACTACTGTTGGGACACAATGCTTACGTAATCTAGCAGCGAGGACATGTTCGCGCCTGAATCCATTGATCTACTACAGAAGTCCGGCATAGATCTACAACGGCATGAGGAGATGGGAATTGAGCCGAATGACTTTGCCGAGCTTATGATTACGTCTGGACTCGTGTTGACCGCGGACACAAAGTGGATCTCGTTTCACAGGTGAGTTTTAGCCGGAATGTAGAGCCTGATAGCCACAGAGCATCGTGAGCGTCGCGGGAACGAGGCGTGGCAGATGTCATTGTTGGTGCTCTGCCGCGGGAGCGCAACCGCGCGGTCTATGATATGTGGCGACCGGTGATACCTTGCCTGCTATGGTCTACGCCAATTGATGGTGCGCAAGGATGGATGGTTGACCAAAATCACTTGTTCCGTCACTAGTGGCTACGACTTCGGGTATTTCGTCAAGCTGCTGACAGGCCAGTCATTACCGACAAACGAGGAGACGTTCTTCGATGTCCTACATACATGGTTCCCCACCATCTACGACATCAAGTTCGTTATGCGATCATGCAAAGTCCTCAAAGGTGGTCTCCAAGACGTCGCTGACGACCTTGGGGTACGTGCATGCCTCGTGATCTGCCACTTCCGGCAAAGGCTCATAGTGCTGCTGCAGGTGATGCGAATAGGACCCTCACACCAGGCCGGCTCCGACTCGCTCCTCACCGCCTCCACCTTCTTCAAGATGCGCGAGCTCTACTTTAACGATAAACTCGACGACCCTGAGTTCAACGGCAAGCTCTACGGCCTGGGCCAGACCTTCACCGTCCAGAACGGCGTCGCGGAGAATGTTCGCGCGGGTACGGCCGCGACGATTGCCGAGCGCGAGGACCGCGCTGGGCCGTCTGGCCGCGAGGCCCACAACCAGACCCCAGGTCCGCCTCCGGGCCATGGCGTCATGGGCATGGGAGGTGCGTTGACGACGCCGGTCATGGCGGGCGCGATGCCCGCGCAAATGCCGACAACGCCGTACGGGCCCATGACGAATGGCCCGTACATGCGCACGGCTATTGGAGTTGGGGGTGGCAGATAGGCGTTAGGAGGAATCAGGTGGATGACGATGAGTGGGAGAGTTGGTGAGGTAGGGACCAGTGGCGGTGGGGACGCTGCAGGGTCGTGGTCTGGTGGTGGGTACAGGATGATGGGGCGATCGGCTGTGGCGGACGCGTGGAAGAGCGTTGTATACATGATAACGCACGGACGGTGTGGTGCGATGTACGATTTCGTTGGCAGCTTGTGTATCGACTTAGAGTCTCCTTCGTCGTTGTCGTTGCAGCTCTGCACCTGTGTTCTCTTCGCAATAATCTAATGTATCATGATTTGCGTCTGGGACGGCCTAGACACAAGTATGAAGGCACTCGCAGCGTCTGTGGGAAGCACTAAGTGCTAATCAGTGCTCAACGCTCAACCTGGAACTTCGCCTGCTTGTGGGCCTGTGGCCAGGGTCTATCCACACAACTCTGCTCCACCTAGCCCCTACACGCAGTCGCTCGGTGGCATCGACAATCACGGGACCTCGACCTATCCTCTCGCTAATCGCTGCGGCAGTGGTTCGTAGCCGCTGCATAAACCACATGACGGCCAGCTCGACACCGCAAAGGCGAGCAGCAGGCCGCGGCTGGACAAAGAGCAGCCTCGGATCCAGACGGGGAGACGTCTCGGGGCACGAAGTAAGCTCCCGGCCGCGTCCGCATGGAGAGGAGGCTGGCCAGGCGAGCGGATCATCAGCCTCCCCACCACCACGCAGGATTGTCGCGGAAGCCGCGAGGCTCGAGCTCCCCCTGCGTCTTGGGACTCCAGCTGCGCTGGGTGCCCCGATCTGCGCACCCCTTCGGTGCCCCCTATCGGACTCTATCGTCTTGTAATCCTGCTTGCCGTGCTCGGCAACTTGGGCTTGGTGTGCGTGCTGGGCTGGGCTTGCGGTATCAGAGAAGCGATCCGTAGCCTACGCCTGTGATCCGCGGGCGCGACGAACACAGAGTGGCCGGTGGCGGACCTAAGGACGACGGTGGTGCTGCAGGAGGTGCAGTGAGCGAGAAGGAGAGAAGCGGGGAAATAAGTCAAAACGTGTGGCGAGCGTTTCGATTGTTTGGGGCCTATCGAGACGTGCTTGACAGGATCGATGGCGGCGCTGACAGAACATAGCACAGGAACCGACTTTGCAGCTAGTCCGGATTCTGAAACTGGCAGTGAAACTCAGCTACAACTTCCTCGACGCTCAGCTCCTCGATCAGGCAGGGTCTGATCGATATTGACATTTGCCAACGAAGACGGCCGTTGGAGGTGCTCGTCATTGATAGCGCCCAACCACGCATGCAGGCGTCGCCTCTTGCTGAAAATTCGAAGCACAAACGTTGCGGTGGTCATGAGCGGTGGCATAGGACCCTGAATCACGAAGGAAGCCACTGCCATGGCGCCTGGCGGCACAACTAGAGCAAAATCTGCGTGGACACGGCGGAGCGGGTTTCCTCCCAGCGGTGTGCGCCTCCGCATAGGGTTACCCGACTACGCGAAGGGGTATACGTGTGCCACCACGGAACATCATCCGACGCAGAAGATCCTTGTGCGAGCTCGGGCCGTTCGAGTCAAGGTCAATTTTCCCTGTACGTCTGTGGGTTTGTGGCAACGTCAACGGGATCGACTTATGGAACCGGCGGAAGTTCGTGGCGCTTCGGTCCTTCATGAGCAACTTGAGCACCGCCATGGCGTATGTCTGTCCCGCCGAGGATATGAGTGCACGTTGTATGGCCATGATCGCCGGCGATATGGACTGAGTTCACCTCCAGGGCAGGCAGGCGACGTCAAGGCGAGGCTCTTGGACACATCTGACCAAGCGATGTGTCATGCTTTCGCACTCTCCTGGGAGCGCGCGGGTCCCCAAAGCGTGCAGGGTGCGAATGCGCAATTCCCAATTCGTCCAGCGTGATCTCGCGCATAGCGGGCTGCGATGCGAACGCGCACGGATCCTAGGCTCCCTATCTTGAAGCGGTGTGCATGTGCACGGAAGACGAAGAGATGCATGGGCGCGTACCACCGGTTGATGGGTAGACTCCTGGCCTTCTCGCCGACTTAAGGAAGCGTGGGAGGTCCCTGACGTCGTGCTGCGCGCTCTACGAGCCCTTAGGACGGGACGCCCTGGACGTCGCGGGCTACGCGGAGCCGCTGCGAGGCCGCGATTGGGTAATGGAAAGACAGGCGAGCGAGGAAGAGCCGGAGTGCTCTCACCCTGGCGACAATATGAGAATGGTTGCAAGGGCGGCGAGAACGACTGGGCAGGATGCGCACCTTAACGCTTGAGCTTACGCAACTATTTCTGGAAGCTCTCTGGTTGGAGGCGTCGTCGCGAAAGGTCGGGCTCGTCGTACGTTCACGGAGGGAATCTAAGGTTTGATCCACGAGCCCCGTTCAGATCTCGGTGGTCGCCGTTGGCGCATAGTTCCATTCGTGTGGGGGAAAGAAGCCGTCCTAGGCCCAGACTTCGCCGCTGTATGAACGCGGGATAGTCGAGCTGGCGTGGAGAAGACCCAGACACGGCAGTCCTCAGCACCGGCTAACGAATTCGAGAGGGATTCCGACGCTGGCACGGACATTCTTCCGCGCTAGAACGCAGTCAATGAGGTAGAGGCTCGACTTTGAAACTCGGCCTGACAGACACCGTCTGGCGTGAATAGCAAACATGGTTGACGCATGGCAGGCCCTGCAAACTGAGGGTGCTGGATAGTCGTTCAGAAGGCCATATATGGCGCCTGACGAGTTCTAGGCGCTTCGTGGACGGCGCGAGCCTTCACTCGGAGGATGCGGATGGGTGTGGAAGCGGTTCATGTCCCGAGAAGGGGAAAGTCGTCGGTGAGTGGGAGGTGCGCAGTGCTGAGGGGTGCAGTGGCGGGATCGGACATGTTAGGGTGAGTCATGGGAAGGACGGCCGGGCGCACAGAGGCAGAGAGAGCAGATTCAGGCAGAGGGGCAGAAGCGTCGCGATGCCGGGAAGCATGGGCGACATGCCTTCGACATTCACTTGTCCCGGACCGCGCGTGTCCAAGGTTTGTGTTCGAGCCAGGTTACGCGGCCCTCGGACGGATTAGCACCGCTAATGGACACGGATTTCAATTCATACACCGCGGAGACACGCTCGATGGGAATCAACGCACTTCTCTCGGACGAACGCAATGGACAGCGCTCCATAGCGGCAGCAGCTCCTGCCACCGCACGCTCGCGGGTCGAAATGCCCCGGACGACCGCAATGGCGGACATGATGTTGGGCGGTTGAGGGCGGGTGGAGGCGTGGATGGTAGACCGAGTGGGGAAGGCGGCGCCGGCTGGGAAACTCGGTAACCTTATACGATTGCCTAAATTACATTGTAGTGCATGACGGTGGCGCGCGCTGTCCTCGGGTCTTTGTTCCTCCTGCGACGGGAAATTGGAGGACGGGGCGGGCGTCGTGTGTCGAGATAGAATATCGATAATTCCGCGGTGTGTATGCGGGTGTGAGACTGGCCCAAGACAAGCGGGATCGGGGGGATCTGGGGAGTGGCCCGGGAAGGAGGCCGATCTTGGACTTGTTCGAGCGGCGGCTGATTGCAGAGACTGCTTGTTTCGTTCAAAAGCCGGGCTGCTCCCTGCCCTCCACCGTCTCTCTCCCCGACGGCCACCATCGCGGCCGACTTCCAGTCCCTCTCTGTCCCGCCCAGCATCCGTCTCGCCTCCAGCAGATGCGAAGCGTCCGTGCCGTGCACAATGGACACGGCTCAGCACTACTCGAACCTCGTGTATCATCTCCAGCCCCCCGTCCCTCAGCTTCCCCCTCACGCGATGTCTAACTCCGCTTCCCGCCAGTCCTTGCCTCACGACATGCACTGGCAGACCGCCCAGCACCCACAGCTCTCCGCCTCCGCTTCAGCCTCTCCCGTTCACGTCCAGATGCCCCTCACGATGTCTCAGTCTCAAAATCACGTCGACTATGCCACTCCTTCAGCACCGCAACATCCGTACATGTCCCACCATATTCCAGACGCCTCAACAGGTCTTCCTACCTCATCTGCAGTCGATCCCGGTCCGTCAACACAGACCCTCTCCTTTGACTCGCCCCAGGTCGAGAGCAGCATCGGTCCAGACAGAGGTCTTTCGCGTAGACGAATCCGCCTGCACGAGCGGGTTCCGAGTCATGGAGAGCTCCCGGAGTATGGCTCCATCTCGCAGTCTTATGGCGTACGTCTTATAGTTTGTCTTCCTTTTTACTCCACTAAACGGTCGATATATGCGCGCAGCACCCTCCACCAGCCGCTCATTTCGCTCACCCTCAAGGGTCCCGTCCCCATTCACCTGTATCGCATACTCTGTTTCAGCTTCCTGACCAGACACAGCCGTCCATGTCGAGTGCGGACGCCTACAACGAGCGCGTGGATGGCCAACCCCGGCCCGAATGGCAGATGTTCCCTCAGAACCAGTCCCGCTCGGCGTCTGGGTCTGCCGCATCCGCTTCATCGAACCCTCGTTCCGCTTCGCCCGCCTTGAGCGTCGCCTCCGCTCTTACCTCAGTCTCGTCTGCGTCAAACTCGCAACTGTTCACTGTGTCGGCAGAGTCGCCTATCCGCAAGCTTGCTGCCCTAGGTCAACGCAGGGACAGGAAGAAGCGTCTCTACAACATTGACCGCTACCGTATCTGCATGCATGCGCAGCAACACCCCGGCATGAAGCAGGAGGACATCGCCGCTCATTTCGGCGTTGAGCGGAGCACCGTCAGCAAAATCCTGAAGCAGAAGGCTCGCTGGTTGAGCGTTTCGCCGACGGAGAAGGTTCTTGTTGCGAAGCTCAGGTATTGTTCTCTTCCGTATTGTGTTGTTCCTCCTGGTGCTTACAACCGTCCAAGGCCTTCAAAGTTTCCTTTGTTAGAAGGCCGTCTGGAGGACTGGGTCAAGAAAGCCTCTAAGGAAGGCAAGGTCCTCACGGACGCTCTGCTTCGCAGAAAAGCGCGAGAGTTCGGCGACCATATGGGCTACACCGAAGACAAGTTCAAGGCGAGCTCGGGCTGGCTGGAGAACTTCAAGCACCGTCACGGTATCCGCCGCGGCGTTTGGCACGGCAACGGTACTCTCGATGCGAAGTACCGAGCGTACGCAACCGACTTCATCCCCGATACGATTGAGCCCGTCATCCCGTTCCCGGGCACCCCACCGCCGATCAAGGAAGACCGCGGCTACAACGACCCCGTCGATACTGACGACGAAGACGATGCGACGATGCACGCCGTCGCAGAGCAGGAGAACATTCCTCCCGCGAATGCGCAGGCTATGCCCTCTTCTCTCGGACTCATCCCGCACCCCTGGTCTCAGTCTGCCGAGCCGACTACGTCGCACGCTAGCTCATCCGCCGCCCACGCGTACGGGCCGTCTAGCCCCTCTCAGGTCGCGTACGCGTCTTACGACGATGCTACGGTCGGTGGATCTGCCTCGGGTTCAGCGATGGACGCGGGTGCTGATAGCCACGGTGCCCAAATTGGCGAGCTCGCCTTTCTCCCTGATGGGGTAGAGGTGATCGAGCCGATAGGCGAGGTCGACGACCGTGAAGCTGAGCGCTGTATCCACAAGCTGATCTTCTACCTGAAGACGAGGGACGAGCTAGAACTGGAGGCCGAGGTCTGGGCTGCAATGTTTCGCGTACGGGCCAAAATCTTCGGGTTAATCTCTGGTCGGCCGTACGACCAGCCCCCGATGCAGATTCACCCCAACGGGTCGTAGGCACTCGTGCTCATGGAGATTGGGGAGGCTTGCGCAGGCGCGTGTGCCGGTGTATAGGGACGCACTCGCCCTTCCATAGGCCCTTGCGTCTCCTGCTGTGGGTGTGGGTCCGTCGGTTGTGTGTTCGGCTCGGCTGTGTCCGACGCCGAGAAGGTTTGTATGACCAAAAATCTCTGCAGTGTATTCTGGACTACGTGTTATGTCGGGCTCTCGTGTCGTTCTTCTTGCACATGGACTTATCATCAGCATCCATCATCATGCATCATCGTCCCATTCTCAAAGACTACGTACACTCCCCCCTTTCCATTATCGAATGCACATAGCATGACACGTACGCATTTCCACCAGCATTTTCCCCTATCTCGCCTCTTCCGCCGTGTTCAGCATATCTGTAGCTAGTGTTCATTCCCCTTGTCTCGACCTCCGTAAGGTTCTCATTCACGTCCACGGCTCCGCATCAGCATGCATCGTCCTCACTGTGCCACTACCACGCCACATGTTTCCCACCTCCATGTCTTCCCTAGCAAGGTTCTCCCTACCCGATTCTTGTGTCCTCGAGCTCGTTTTCACCATGGATCCACCATTCACGTCCATCGCAGCATGTTTAGTCCCGATTCTCATCACATTGTCCTCATCGACACACCCCCCATCCAACACTCCTTCCTGTACATCTCACGCATCGTCAAAGTCGCTGTCGCGTTATTCATCGCTTTGTAAACGACAGCCTGCAATATATTGCATTCGAGCCACAGCTCTCGACGTAGACATCGATCGGTAGGGTACATGCCATCGTGTCCGTGTCCGTGTCAGAATGCGAGAAGAACGGTCCACGGAACATGGGTCTATGACGTACGGTACCGCCTCCGGACAGGTTGCTTGGGAACGCAGCCGCCGGAAAGACTCGCAAGAGAACGGTGGAGACGGAGCGGTGAGGAGCAATCGATGTTGCGTGCACACGCCACGGGAGTTCAGCCGAAGCGCAGGTCGTTTAGCGGTCCGACTTGACAGGTTCCCAGATGGTAGACCGTCCGCACGGAGCCGCTACTCTGTAAATACGTGTAACCTTCACTTTCGAAGCGGGTGGTGTCGGGATGCTGGGCAGAGTGGCCATCAGGATGACGAGATAAGAGCACACGGGCAGAGCAGGCGTACTTGAGGTGGCCCAGAAGGGGACGGAGGGACGGCGGAGAGTGCGTCATGACTTCTTGGCCTTGGTCGACTTCGTCTTTTCCGCCGCGGAGCTGCTGCCAAAGTGTAGAGATATAATCGGCGAGATCAGTTTCTGTTCTGCGACGGGAAACGAGGCGGGACACGAGGCCGCGCGCACTTACCCTTCCATGGCTACGTTCTTCATGATCGTAAGCTTCCCCGAGGACGCGGCGGCGGCGACCTGCTGCTCGATGCTTTTGTTGATCTTCGCGCTGAGCTCCTAGAAAACACGCGTACAACACGCGTTAGCCCTTTGCTCCTTCCGTTGCATCGCGCCTAGCTCCTTTTCCCCCGCCCTAACTAGAAGAATCTGTCCCAACTCTCCCGGTATCGGGGTTCCGCGGAGGGCGCGGTGGGAAGGGGCTGAGCGAGATCGAAAGTTGTTATGCTCACCTTGTGCATGGCAGCCTGTTTGACCGCGGCAGTCTTCTTGGGCGCGACGTATCGCTTACCCTTCTTGGGGGCCGCCGCCGCCTTCTGCGCGTGCCTGGCGTTCGAGTTCTTTGCCTTCGCGAGGCCCTTGGTTTGTCCTTGTACCATGTTGTGATAGCTGAATTGATGGAAATCGGGAGCCCGCTAGGGTCGTGTGAGGTTGTGGACGCGCGAGATGGCGGAGGGGACACTGCGGGAAGCGGTGGAGTTGGTCTGGAGTTGGTCCAGAGAAAAAAGCGGTGATCGAAGACGCTTGACCGAGTTGCCCGATAGACCCTAACCTCTGCCATGGCTGAGAATGCTGTGCTTGTCCTGATCGAGCTATAGTCGATGACGCGAACATCTGGCAGCGCGATCCTTTCGCACTTGCCGTAGTAACTATATGAGTCTCTGGGCACTTTGGGGTAGGGAATTCAGTTTGCGATGGGCGCAATCCAGGTGAGCACCCCAGTCCCTTGATCACAGCCGTATTCTTGTGGAGTCCGCTGCTGAGGGAAGACCACTGCATGCAGGGTCCTCTCAAACTTAGTTCCGGCCTAATTTGTCCGGCTTGTCCTGGGAGAGAAAGTCGAAATGTGGCGTGCAACTGTGAGCCTAATTTGACTCATAGTAGCCCATTGGAGGGGGAGCTTTCATCCCTTGTTGCGTTATATATTCTAATAGAGCGGACCCAATGATCTGCCGAAAACTGTCGTATGCGTCGCCCGACACCTTCACAGTTTTATTCCACGAAGAACTCTGGCTCGTAGTATGGTGAAATATTGGCGCAGGTTCGTCTTTTTTCTTTTCTATGACCTTTCGATTATCCCACTCATTCCTAGTCGAGACTACAGCGATGGGACCGCGATCGCCATGCGCCTTGCCTTCATGCACGATTCGAAGCGCTTCTCTAGAGTATAGAGCATCGACATGCGACAAACTGACGTCTCTGACAGTATTACATGTATGAGTCAGACAAGTACCACCGGGAACACCGGTGTGTCGATCACTGTCTCCCACACCCTGCCAAACCGCACCCTACAGAACTCAGGCTCAAACTCGCGGGTTTGCCCGACGATCTTCTTGCAGAAGAACTGCCCAATTTGGGTCCTTCTAGTAGCTCGTGAAAGCGGTATGCAAGAAACAGGGCACCACAAATAATCTCAATCCGGCTCGAGAACCAAGCCAGGGAAATCAGTGGTGTGTCAAAAGACTTTAGCATGTCATATAATCCAGATGTCGAGAAGACTATACTCCACCCGCCTTGCCTACGTCTTGGTGGGTTCGTTCGTTCCTACTCACGAAGCGTTCGATACTCATGGCGGCTAATTGAGTGCGTCACATCCCTATGAGTTGTTGGAGCCCTTGTTGGCTGAAACGTACCGTGCTGATCCCTTGTTGTCCCCGGAGCATCCAATTAGCGGTCATTACTCGGTGGTTCGTGCTTGAACTTCTGTCCGCTATGGGTAGCCCAGCGTGTTCTAGAGCGTTTCGCCGGAAAAATCGGCAGGATATCCATCAGCATGCGATTCCACGGGCATTCTGTGTCCCATCTTCGATGGTCAGCTTGCTCCGCTGCAGCATCACGACTCCACCCTTTCAGTGAGTCTGCGGCAAAGTCCCGGTGAGAATCAGTGCAAGTCGACGTCACAGCCCATTCAATTATGCGCAACAGGTGTGTATCTCCGAAACAGTGCGGTCGTTAGGAGGCTGAACTTCTGATGTTGTCGTTTCAGTCCTCGTTTATCCGCATGACTACTAATTCTCCCGATGATGAACCACCAGCATGCTCGGCACCAGACACATGAATCGCCATTTGTATTCGCTTTTGATATCACAAAGGCGGTGGCTTCGGACTCCAATCTGGGACTTCCTCCTCTCGCACGTATCGCCAGCTAGGTGTACTTGCGGCTATTGGCGGCAGCAATATCGTCGTTGACTCTCCTCTCCAGCTGGTTGCACAAGTGCATCATGACAACTCAGTGATTCGATCGTCGGTTGTCGACAAACATGAAACCGACCGGCGTCCCAAGCCATCTGTTACGGCGCTTCAAGTCTGCAAATGATTGATATTGTCCTCACTCGTGACCTCAGCTATGTCTTCTGGAACCAAAGACCCTTGAAGAGTGCCTCTAGCGCGCAGTATGTCTTATAACGAACTGGCACCCCTCGTCCGCTGGGTGCGGCATTCGCACGGTCCGTACCGACGGTGACAGAGTTTAGGGATCCGGCCATGTCCTCTAAATGGCCTTATAAGCCCACACTTTCACTAGTACTATTCACAAGACGTAAGGGAGCATGTGGTGACCATACCATATAGTGCTACTTATGTATATACGTGATATTTCACCGCGGAGGCTACTAGTAGCCACGATGTTAGTACTAGGCCTACTAGTACCGCTATGTCCGTACTTGTGCGACGTGTGCCATTCAGCAGCAAGTACTAGTGCTGTATCATGATAGTTATTTCAAGTCGATATATGCGGTGCGAGTTCGGGCCGGGGGGTATTTCTATGCAGAGATCCGATTCAACGACGCGATGAGGAAGACGAACCTCGGAACGAATGGGATGCACATCACTGGCCGAACGCCGTCGGCGCCTATTCGGGAAACCCCGGCGTGTACCCAGCGCCCGAGCAACGTCTTGCTCACCGTCCGTAACGTTGGCCAAGCTATGTTGGCCGTCTCTTCGAAATGCGTGCGCGCATCACGCGCTCTCGCCGCACAAAAGGTCTGTTTCATGTTGTGGATACACCGCGTCGACGTCTTCCAGCTCACGGGTACCCTTGCGAATGTAGCGAGCCCTCCATGACCTAACTACACTCCCCTCGGGGAAGACTACAATTCAGTACGGTCCTCCAGGACGAAGTGCAAGCTCTGGGCACACCGCGACTGTGTTTGGTGCTACAAGCTTTTTGGGCAGATACCTTGTGGCGAAGCTCGGTATGTAATGCTACCCACTGTGTCACAACTCTCTGTTATTGCGTTGGAACGCTTACTGACGATTGTTGCTGGGCACAACAGCCAAGGTGGGCACGCACGTCGTCATCCCTTACCGTGACGAGGACGAGAAGAGGCATCTGAGGGTCACTGGGGATCTCGGGCAGATCACATCGTTGGTGCGTATACAGTTTCTTCTCCTAGGTGGTAGGCGCGTCAGCGCGTCGGGTGCAGGTGGCATGATAGTTGAAGTGTGTTGCCGTATTGGTTGCAGGAGTGGGATCTGCGCCGGCCTGATCAGATCGAGGAGTGTCTCAGACACTCGGACATCGTTTACAACCTCGTGGGTCGGGAGTACGAGACCAAGTACGTCCCTTTCCCTGTTGTCCGGCTCCCTTCTAACGAAGGCACGCGTCTCGTGTAGGAACTTCACCTACGACGACGTCCATGCCAAGGGTGCCGAGGCCATCGCGAGCATTGCATACCAGAACGGCGTTGATCGCTTCGTGCATGTGTCTCACCTCAATGCGTCGCACGACTCCCCGTCCGCGTTCTACCGCTCGAAGGCCAAGGGAGAGGAGCTCGTGAAGGAGGCGTATCCAAACGCGACGATCGTCCGCCCTGCCACCATGTTCGGCTACGAGGACCGGCTGTTGAACAACATGGCGAGTAAGCACACATCTCTACATATGCTCCGTTCCAGTACGTTAGTGTAAACGCATCATTTCATCTTGACAGTCTGGCCAATCTGGTGGAAGCTGAACCATATGCAGACGAAGGTTCGCCCCGCTCACGTACGTGTCCCGCATGATTCCTCGCTCCCGACTCCGAAACGGAACCTGTGACGCTGACTTTTAGCTGCTTCGGCTTTGCAGGTGCTCGACGTTGCTCAGGCGCTGGCGAACACCCTCCCTATGGCGGCACTCCCTGGCACCTTCAGTCTCCCGGGCCCATCGACTTTGACATACGAATACCTGCTCACGCTAGTTTCCACTATCACCTACAATCCGCCGTCACGCGCGCCCGTAGTGCCAAAGTCGGTCGCGCTCGCCCTCTCCAAGCTCGCGCAGAACGTGTGGTGGCCTATGCTCAGCCCCGACGAGGTTGTGCGGAGGTACATAGACGACGTGGACGTTCCCGGCGATTGGGACGTATTCGGCGTCATCCCAGACGAGATTGAGGAGCACGCCATCACGTACCTGAGGAGATTCCGATCCGCGTACGTGTTATTCTCATACCCTTCTTCCCAAATTCTTTCTTGCTGCGATTCCTGCGAGTTCTGTCTCCCAACCTCCCCCGTTCCCGTGTGTCTGTGCTTGGCAGCATCATCGCCAGCCAATCCGCGCACAAACGAGGACGTCAGGGGTGGAATCCGTGGCTGGCTGCGGTTTGCGCGTGTTGGAGCGTGCACTGATAAACTAACGTTGGCCGGTTTCGCAGGGACAACTTCTCGCGGCCGGTCGTTTTTCCCGCCTCCCGGGAAACTTCCTCGGTGGGTTGATTCGCTAGCCCCGAACATCCGTTTTGAGTCAGCGTCGCTGACGTTACATTTTGCGCGATGCGTGACCAGTACGACCTGCAGGCATGAGTGCTACAATCATACAATGGGGTGATGTTCGATGCACTGCCCGGAACGTAACGTCATTAGGCTTGAGATAGCGGCTTCGGTCTGTCTGTCAATGCGATACAGATGCTACTACTCTAGTGCTAGCCGGCGGGGCCACCGTCTGATGCAGATGACTCGTCGTTGTGACGTCTAGAATTGGTCCGATAGGAATACGGACTTCGTGACGAAGCGTCGTCATACGCTGGGAGACCAATTTCGCTGATGCGCCCTTCCGACTCCCAATGGACGACGCGGGCCCACCAAACGAGAAGCTATGTTTATGCTGTAGCGCTGCCACGCCAGCTGCTGACATACGTCTGATTGGATTCGCAAGTTCGGAGACATCGGCGTTGGCCAGCTGGATCTTTGACATGGACGTGTGCAATTCGCAATTGCCCGGAGAAGCTGAGGCTTCTACGTATTGGACGGGATGGTCTGATGGTGGCACACCGTGACTGGCTGAGGCCTGGGCGAACAGTGTGCCGCGTTCTATGTATGTATGTATCAGATATGGGACGTATGACGGCAACGGAAGGCCGCGTGCTCAGGATGCTGTTGAGCGTGACGCTTTTCATTTCGGTCTTTGGGCGCGCGTGCGCGGGCGTATAGTGCGGAGGGGCATGGAGGGAGGGATGCGAGCATCACAATAAAGGGCTCTATTATATGGTACATGAGTTGTAAGTGTACGGTTGCATGCATGCGAGTGGGGTGGGTAGCGGTCAGAATCGAGAGGGAGGAGCTCAGAGTGGTGACTTGGGCGGGTTTTGCGGCTGGCCTGGCTGAGGGTACAAGGAGCCAGGGGGCGCGAGCATCTGGACAGATATTGTCAGTGTCGGAGTACACGTCAGACGGTCAAATAGAGTATCTGGCGGAATGAGACGCACCTGCGCGCCCTGCTGTTGGGCGAGCATCTCCTTCTCCTGCTGCACGATCTTGGCCTCGTCCTCGAGCACGAGCGCGAGGGGCAGGCCAATGAGGAGGGCGGAGGTGGTGACAATCCAGACGAGGTTGCCGACGACCTTGCCGGTCGTCTTGAGCGCACCGACGGTGTTGCCGAGCTTGGTAGAGATGCTCTGGCGCGTGGTGGGCGGAATGATGTCTGCTAGGGCGACGATACGCTCGTAGAATGACTCCTCGCCGTCGAGCTCGGAGCCGACGGAGGAGAGAGAGACGGACGATGACGTGCGAGACGAGGAAGGGGAGGAGTAAGGGGAGCGGGAGTCCTGCTCCTTCTCTTCGACGATCTCGACCTTGACCATGATGGAGGTGTTTTGTTGGGAGGAGGGAGTGCTGGGTGGTCTGCGACGGTGACGATGGCAGCTGCTGCGACGTGCGTCCGCACCAGCGCCACAGCGGCCACCCGAAAATTGGCGTGACCGGTATATGTGACGTGTGTGACATGGAGGGCAGATGGTTCGGTGCCGAGAGGGATGAGCTGCGGGGGGAAGGCGCCTAGCGGGCGCGTATGTAAGAAGGCGGAGGCATTTGGCATTGCGGGTGAGACACTGCCAGTCCTCGTCTCATTCCAGTAAACACGCCCCTTGCCTGCACGGACACATCCTACTCTCCTCCTCGTCGCCCACCACGTCCATGGATCCCTCCGACAACAGGGAGGGCTCTCCCTCCGCCTCACAATGTGCGTGCCCCCCTTGCCGCCGTGCCCCGTTCATGGAGCCACCCGGTGTGCTCTGTATTGATTGACTCCCGTGCCAGCCTTCAATTTCTCCTCGCCCACAATGCAGAATCAGATCCACGAGCTCGCCAAGACCCTCCCCCCTCCCAGGAAGCAGAACACCGCTTGCGACGCCTGCAGGTCCGTTCACCGCGCTTGTGGCATGCCTATATGTAGACCAACGCGTTTCTTTGACAGAGCCCGGAAGGTCAAGTGCAACCAGCTACCAGGCCAGGATAAGGTCCGTCCCTCATCGCGTTATCTCTCGCCCTCATCTGTCCCGCTCAGTACAATCCCGCGTACAGTGTCAGGTAATGCATGCCACACCACCCCGTCCGTCTGCCATCACAGACACGCTCTGACCGCGTCTGTCGCGATAGCACTGTCTCTCCAAAAATTATCCCTGCACGTAAGTCCCATGTGCACCTCGCTTTGGTGTGAAACTGGCTCATGTGGCCGTGTACTAGCCATTTCATTCAGCAAGCCACCACTGAGAAGAAACGGAATGCTGCGGCCGCCAAGAGACCGCGGACCCTGTCCGCTAGCAGCTCGAGGTGGGTGTGCACGGACTGATTGGGACGCTGCCCCTACTCACCTTACGGCAGCGGGCCATCGTCGAGCTCCCGTCTGTAAGTCTCTTTTTACCCTGGTATCTTTTCATCCATTCCTCAGCCCCGGCCCCGGGCAATCACGCATGCAAGATTGCTGCGGTCCTGCATTTCTCATGTTTCGACGTGTCCCACAGACAGTAAACATTGAGACATGGGAACGGCAACACACTATGTCTTGGGAACAAGGCACTTGAATGCATGGGCACGATGCCTTCCCTCGTGCAGTCTATGCGCAGTTTCCCCCGTCACGACACGGGCAAGTCTGAGACGGAACGCGCCGCTGATGCAATGACGGTTATTCAGCAATAGCTTCAACAGCGGTTCCGCAGAACACATGGCTCCAGGAACCCCTCACTCGTATCAACCGGCCGGTAGTCAATTGCCCATACACGGCGGCCCGTTCCCTCGGGCCAACTCTATAACGCAAGAGACCCCGACACGCGACTTGCTTGCATACATTTTCTCGCCGCCGGAACCCCTAAGGTTGGTAATTTGGCATCGATTCGCTGTCATGTATCTTCCATCGTTCTGATCTGCCCGAACTTTAAAGCCAGAGCGCCCAGGTGAATGGTTCGAGGCTTCCCGCTGCCTACAGCGAATGGGGCGCCCTTGCTCACCGTCTTGCCGAGGAGAACTTCCGCATAGAGTACGTCCGACCTTCCGTTCTATCATCGCAACGTCACATAGTGCGGCATACGCGGGGCCTCGGCAGCCTTGATTATCGAAATTGGCCGTATCTTCGTCGAATTCGATGAAGTGTCCCATGCGGCCGTGGTTCGTGCTAACACCGGACTAATCTGTCACGCACGCAGATTCGCACTCGACCTCGTGGAGGTCTTCTTCCAGATCGTCCACTCCCGGCTCCCGCTTTTGAACCCAGCGCAGACCCGCACGCGTCTGCACTACAGCCTGCAGTCAACGAACGGCGGAGCGTCTCCGAATAACCCGCAAGGCGGTACGGGCCAGCTTGGGCGGAGCAGCAACAGCCCTCCCCACGGCGGGCCGCAGCAAAAACCTCTGCACCCTGCGTAAGTGTCAATCTGTCTCCTTGTTTCCAGCCGCGTGCGAGAGCAGTTCGGCGAGGCAGCTGACGCGTTGTGCGTGGCTCAGGCTGGTCGCCACGGTCATCGCGTGGGGCGCGAAATTCTCGGAGCACCCCCTCTTCATTGCGGACCGGCACCATAACAAGGGGCAGAGCGCGTTGGCGAAGGTGCTCATCAATCGTGCGAGGGATCTCGCGGAAGACATGAAGGTGCACAGAATCCCGAGTGCGGACCACGTGGTTATCGCGCTCTTAATTGAGCCGTTGCAGAGTCGTGAGTGCGGGCCCGTGTCGTTGCTGTGCGTGCGATGTTGAATGCTGTGTCGATTGCGCAGAGAGTCTAGAGCACAATGCTGGTATGCTCTGTTCTCAGTTGAGACTATGTGATGGCTGAGTCGCGTTTGTTCTGTTGCAGGCTTCCATGGGTTCTGGCTGGGGTCCGCGATCCGATTACTGCTAGATTTGCAGGTCAGTCTACCCAATGTGCTTTTATCTGAGTTCATCATTGACACCCAGACGCTAGATCAACCACAAATCTGTCATGTCGAATATTCAAGATCCCGAAGCCCGAGGGACCATGATTTTCGCATGGTGGATGGCCTGTCTGGCCGATGCCTACCGCTCCGTGTATTATCGGCGGAAACCGATGCTGTGCGTGCCGATCTTCCGTTTACATCTAGACGCTGCTGCGAACCGCAATCTCATGGACTTTTGTCGCAGTGATGACGACGACTACGACATCGACTTCTACACCGTTGGTCCATGTCCCCCAGATATTATCGAGTCGCATGCGCCGCAACCGTCTCCCAGGGAACAGTTAGAGGCACGTCTCGAATCTTCGTCTATCAGTGTCGTGATGTATTGAATACGGCACAATCGTTGCATTTAGTTCTTGGTAAGAACCAACCGCGACCCCGACCATCTCCTGTCGTCGTCGTTGCTAACTAGAGACCTGTGCGGCGATGTTCAGGGGTACTACCGCGCAGCGCATGCTCTCGCTAGGATCGCGCGACAGATGTCTCGCCAGTTGTGGCGACCAGCGACCGAGTCTGACGGCGTCCCGCTGGACGTCCTCGCTGGATTCATGGCTATGCTGACCGACTGGAGCAAGGACCACCTCCAGCACGTCGGTGTACCCAGTAATTTCGAGGCGGAGTGGGATTTTGTCAGTGCCGTCACAGCTTGTGCGTGTCTTCTTCGCTGTTATGGGCCAGGGACTCAATGTTGATCGCGTGTAGGTGCAAGCGACGCGACATATCACATCATGTGGATCATTCTCTACAATGCCTTGGAGGACTTCGGCATCCGAGAGGTCAACGATGTGACGCGCACAGGCACCTCTGAGACGCTCCTCCCACAACATGCGCAGATCGAGGAGACGAAGCGCAAAGTAGCGAGTGAGGCGCTGCATGGCGCGTTGCGCATCGCCGGCCTGGTCAGTTCTCTTCTGCGAGCTTATATGTTATTTTGACTGCGGGCGCTCACGCCCGTAAATGTTTCGTAGGCCGGCGTCTTGGCATCCAACGGCTACTTGGTACGTCCCGGTCCTCCCGCCTCCGACCCGCGCATACGGCGCCGCTGACCAGGCACTTTCTCCTCGTCCCTTCGCCCCCTTCTCTTCGCGCCGCTATCTCCTTCCTGCGCTTGTTTCTTGTCTCCGCACACGCCAACACTACCGCGTCGATGATGACGGCGATGGACGATCCGCGAATCACAGCGGCTCGATTGCGCAGTCATGCATGTCAGCTGCATCCAGGCCGGCATGCTCCTCGCGCGTATGGGCCGCCCCGAGGTGGCCAACTGCGTCACCGGGCTTGAGCAGTACGCGTACGCGTACGAGGAGTGCGCTGAGGCCGCCGCGGAGATCAAACGCATCTACAACCAGACGCTGTCCGGGGAGCTCGACATGGCGCCCTCATCGACGACGAACTCGCGCGCGACGCCGACCGAGGCCGTGTCGAGTCCCATGGCGAGCACGGCGATGAACGTCGACCAGCCTATGTACGGTGTGAGCTTCTGATTGCACTGGGTTCTGCGCGTTAGCTCTTGGTCTTCTGTGTGAGTTGATGTACGTTGGAGACGGACTGTCTTGGAATCTAAGGGATCGTGTCTGGAGGATAGAGGGAAGGTGTCAGAATATCTTGTCCGTGTTTTAGCCTGTAGTTTGTAGCTTTTGTCGTGTTGTCGACCATGTTGCCGTCGTACCATCGCTGCGTTGGGTTATCGGAGTATGTCTTGTAGTAGCATCATAGTATCCCCACCCCCTCCCTCCTATATCAATAGAGCACGGTCGTATGTATCTGGCATATCATGGACTACGGTGTTTGGGAGATCAGACAAAAAACTGTAAGCTGTAGTACGAATATATGCATTACATGCGCACAGCAGCCAAGGCGTGTACAAGAGTACAACTCAAAATGGTAGCTCGTCTGATTAAACAAAGCGTATGGTGGATAAGCCGAGCGTTATAGGCGGACGCTCTTGATCGTCTGCGAGATACCGGTCTTCTCGCCACCATATTTGCTCGCGTCGACGCCGCCCTTGTAGACCGCTCGTTGCGAGGCAACCTTCTTCTTGGCTTTCTCGTACTTCTGCCGTTTCTTGACGCGTGGGTTGCGCACCGACTTCGAACGTTTTGGTGTGAGGCCTTTGTTCTTGAGGATCGCGCGAGTGAGCGAGCGCGGGCCATCCACACCTTCGTCGTCGACGATACTGTTGACATTGTTAGCCCCATGCATGCGCAATGAACAGGCAGCGTAGCATACCGAGCAGCCGCAGCAGCATCCTCGTACTCCTGCTTCCTTTTCTCCTTCTTTTCCTTCGACTTCCGTTTCACCAATTCATAGTACCCATCCGCCTCCCCGCCGCTCTCCTCGTCCTCGTCCTCGTCCTCCCCTCCTCTTCTCCGCTTCTTCCCGTTCTTCCCGTTCGTGTCCCGATCGACATCCATTTGTAGCTCAGGGTCAACGTCGTCCAAGTCCGCGCCTTGCGCCTCGCGCTCCCTCGCCTTTGCGACCTCCTTCGCCAGCCGTGCTTCGCGCTCCTTCTTCCGCTCGCGATACGGGATATCGTCGTCGCCTCCCATATTGGCTGCACGAGCACCGGCGCGGCGCGCGGAAGTGCTCTCGATGCGCGCGACGTGGAAGCGCAAAGACTTCTTGCGAGCCTGCTTGTCCGCCGCGTCTGCGACGTCCAGCGCAGTCGCTTCTCCGTAGACGTCGACCGTAGCGTCCGTCGCTTTTGATTTCTCCTTCTTGGAGGACTTGGAGGGGGCAAGGTCGGGCTCGACGAGATCGAAAACGGGCATTGCGAGTTGTGCACTCGCGTCTGTCGCTTTGCGCTTCTTTTTGGGAGGCTCGGGCTCGCCGTCGGCGACCTTGGACTTGCGCTTCGTCTTCACCGAGTCCTTGCCTGCACGGCTGTCCTTTCCGATGGTCTTTGCCTTGGGCAAGTCATCGCCGTCGACGTCGATGAAGCCCTCCGCTTCGCGCAGGAGCTCCTCTAGCTCGTGCTGCTCCAAGCCTTTCCCCTTCTTCTTCAGTGTATTGTTCCCGGCCCATAGGTCCTGCGCGTCCGCTTGCCAGTCAAACTCTTCGTCCTCCTCATCCTCGGAGTCGTCGAGATCGGACGAGCCGAGGCCAGATTCGTCGTCGGACGCTGCGAAGTCAAGCTCCTCGAGCGTGTGTAGGGATTGCTTGAGTGTTAGCAAACGCGGGAGAATGGGATGCGCGCGGAGGAGCTCGGGGCGTTGGGTATATTTCTCGGAGGCGCGGAGGTGGAGGTAGAAAGCGAGGGTGGTTGCGTATGTGAGCAGGGCCTCTGTAGTCCATGAGATTGATGAACATGGGAGCTAAGAAGGAAGAGAACATGAGGACGTACGATAGTGTAGGTGCATCATACTGAGACTAAGAGCGTCGGGATTCTCAGCCTGGAGTCTGGGAGCAATAGTCAATTTTCTGTAGGTGCGCATGTACGTAAAGTACGCACTTCTCGATCTTGGCCTTGGACTTGACGATGTTGTACGCTACGTCGTCCCAGTCGTGTGCCAAAGCGAGGGCTTCTGGGTTCGTCTTCTCCAAGTGCCGCAATAACGACTGCTTGTCTTGTGGCAATTGGACCACGGGCTGCACGGGCTCGTCCACAATACTGAGTCATGCTTCAGCGTGACAGCTACCATGAAAATGCACAATGACATACCCATCCTCATCCGGCAAACCCTCAACCACATCTCCCAGACCGAAGTCATCATCCGCCATAGCGTCCCGCACCTTTGCCTGAAGCCGCTTCGCCTCCTGCTCCTCCAGCTCAAGTGCTTCCTCGTCGTCTGACTCAATCTCGTCAGCGTTCGAGGCGTAGTACGCGGATTTCTTGGTCCCCCAGCCTTCTTCCTCCTCCGACTCGCTCTCCTCCTCTTCGGACTCGTCCTTTTTGGTCTTCTTTCCCTTCTTCTGCGTCTTCTTCTGCTTCTGCTTCTTGGACGCCGCCGCCGCAGCGTAGTGTACGTCGTCGATGTCGTCGTCTTCGTCCATACCATCCCCATCCTGGTCCGCATCTTCCTCGTCTTCTGAGGGCGAATCCTGCGGCATGCCTTTCAACGCAAAGACCTCGTCTTTGTCTCCATCCTCGTCACCGCCGTGGTCATCTCCCTCCAGGAGGATCTTGTCTCTAGACGCATGGACTGCACCGGCATTAGCTATCCACCCGCGGACGTCCTATGAGATAGACGGGGCGTACACTGATCCTCCTCGTCCATCGGGATATCCGCGGCAGTATTCCACCGCTTCATCTTGCTGTCTTTGCGGTCCACGCTTCTCGGCTTTTTCTGCGCGGCCTTAGCCTTCCCTGAGCGTCGGCGGACCATGGCAGACGACAGTACAAGCGGAAGAGGTTCAGCAGAAGCGCTTGTAGCAGCTGAAGCAAACTCCCAAAATCTTGACGGCTCGTCTGCTTAGCGAGCCACGTGGGAAGACTCGTCTCATCGTCCAAAATGGGCTGTGACGGGCGTCTATCGAAGGAATACCGTACTGCGCTACTGAAGGGAGCTCTTTTGCGACAAATGGCGTACATTATGGAGAGGATCAAGGAGTGCTCTTGCTCCCACTGGCACACGTACTTGGCATCGTTCCTTGAGCTTGTGTACGATGTGCCCAAGTCTAGTATCGATACCGGACATGAGGCACAAACAAGGTTAGGATTGCATGTCGAATCGCGCAACACGGGACCAGGATCGTGCAGAGATATGGAGGCTATACAAGGCGACTTCGACGAGGGACGGACTGCGGAGGCGCATACATCCATCACGGTGAAACAATTGATGCCGAGGGATAGGCCGAATATCCAAGCCATCCAGGCCTGCTTGATGTCACCAGTGACGAATGTACGCCTTCCGTTCCTCGATCGTATACAAAGTCCAGAGTTGCGCCGAACAATTAATGACAGGTCCACGCCGTCATAGCGTATTGCATGGGAATAGGAATATTGAACGATAGTATACGCGTGGATTACGGATGACGTGAAAACACGAAGGCCCGGTAACGGCGTGGCATGCTAGAAGGCGAAAATGCCCATCGCGTGAGCCTCCGAACAACAAGTACTCGGGACGCCAGAATATACGTACCTCCTCGAACATTCCACCGTCCCGACGCTGACCCGCGGAGCGCGAAGGCTCTACCAAAACTCCTTGCGCTTTTTCCGAATATCCACGCTCAACGACTTCCTCTCCCCCCACTTGGCGCGATTTGCGGCATGCTCTTCCTCCGCCGTCTCCTTCGCCTTCCTCCTGTCGGGACCCTTGAGCGACGTGATCTTGCCCACAAACCACGGCGTGCAATTAAACTCTTTTGCTAGCCTCCCACGCGTCCATGTTGTCGGGTCCTCCCTGCGCAGCTGACGGATGCGCGCGACGTCCTCATCTGAGAGACGCGGCTTCTCTTCGTGCTGCTTGCTGAATGTGGGAGGTAGGTCCCCCGTGGTAGAGAACCCGGAAGACTTGAGGAGCGGCGACGCAGGTGAAGTTGTATATGATAGCGGCGAAGGGGCGGTCGGGGGAGGTCGATGGATGAACGTTACATTCTCCTGGAGCTCGGCGTAGGTGGCATGGGGATTGTCCCGGAGGGGATCAGGGGCGCGATATGGTGGCCTTTCCGGGAGTCGCGTCGCATATGAGCGAGAGGAGAACCTCAGCGACGGGAGAGACAGTCGAGGAGGCATGGCCGGCGAGGACGAGATGTTGAGCGCTGCTCTCGACAAGCCCTGTGGTGGCAAGTTTCTGTCACGGGGTCACACCGTCGCCAAAGGGTCGGGTGCACGTGCTTGACTTACCATGTGGCAAGTGCCGTGCTTCGAATCCGACTTGGGCATATTTGTTTTCCTTTGAATCACTCAATGCCAGGCACCCGTTGCGGGGCAGATGTGTCTCGCCAGATATCTGACCCCTGGAACCTTGTTCCTTAACCATCCTCTGGCCTCTGTCCAGAGAAATTCGTTCGGGCTTCCGTGCTGCACCTAGGCTTGTTGCCTCAAACGTCTTAGCGGCGCCTGCTTGATTCTGGCCTCGATCCAATTCTTCTTTGCTCCACAACTATATGTCTCCTCCTACCAGGCTTCGTCACGGCCAAGACACGTATCCGCATTTGTCACCGGAGCACTGATGTTCACTATAGTTTGTGGAGTGTGAGTTTTTGCACTCGCTTCTAGGCTCTTGCACCTGTAGACCACGCCGGTACAGTAAATACTACTGGGTGCGAGTGCGTCATCAACCTGTGGAATTCGACTCGTCGAGCCCTTCGGTCGATCAAACACTCCGGGGCCCAGTGACCTCCATCCGTCGTATTGAAACGCATTTAGGGCGACCGTGGACAGCTGAAACCTCGTACACTGCACCAGCTGCGTCGGCTCAGCTGCGCAAGATGGGCAAGAGGTCCGGCGGCGGATCCCGATGGACGGTAGCCTGGGCAGGCGCACGGATTGGGCGATGACGTAGGTGCTCCGCTCGGGCTGCTATAGGCTGGTGGTGGGAGCCCCGTGAGCGAGTGCGTAATGGGAAGGATATGCCCATTCCCGTCCCCGGCGTTCGTGTCCAGAATCGCCCGCCGTGCTTCAATTTTCGCTTCTAGAACGCACGTCGTATATCGTACACTTGCGCACCTTCCGTTATATGGCCAATCTGTCTCTGTTCCTGCTCCTTGCTTCTGCCCAAACCTCCCCTGCTCCCCTCCTACCTTCGTCTTCCCCGCCCACCCCGCTGTCGCCCCTCCATCTCACAGGGCACTCGTAGGCTATCTGTCAACGACCGCCACTTCCCCCGATCCCCGCTCTACAGCGACCGCTCCCTCCAAGTCCGACGTGCCTGTCACTGGGCCTGGTCTCACTTGCTCCCCCCCCTCGTCGCCCAAGACAATGAACCGAGACATGGCGCACGCCCCTGCCAACGCCCCCGCCCACTACGCCCTCCTCGCGTATGCCCAGGAGATGCACCAGTACACGCTCGAGCTCTGGACGGAGCTCAGCAACAAGCTCGACGCCCAAGGCCGCCCCGCAGCGACCCCCACTCGGGATCTGCCCAGGAACGTGTATGAGCAACTGCCTCAAGGCGGCGCGTCCCCGGACGACACCGACGCCGAATCGCCGCAGGACGAATAGAGGCGGGTCTCATTCTGTCCTGGACTTCGCCGTCTCTGATGTAACACGTCGTAGATCGAGTCCAGCAACTCAACCGGTGGGCCTCATATTTATCATCCATGCACCACACATATCCCTCGTGTCCTCTGCCCTCTGTACGTGTGAACCTTTTCTGCTTGCGTTCCGATTCTGTCGCTTACGTCCTCCTGTCGTTCGATAGCTACTCTGCACAGCGAGTTTTCTCCTGTATCAGCAAAATCCAACTACCACGACCGCGGTCGGTGTAGGTTTATCGTATGTTGTACATTAAGGATGGCCAGGGTTGGCCGTTATGACACCCTATCTAGCGCATGGGTGGTTTTAGGTTTTCGGGCGCTGTAGGCTCGCACGCTCACCACAGAATATGGCACAAATCTCTCCCCTTCTACTCTGGATTATGCAGGAGGCACTCCTACATGCTGTTCCTAACAAGTCCGTGATGATGTATGATATCTTCTCTGCACACGCACTCGTGAGGCGGGTGGCCAATACTTACATTATGGGCGGGAAACTGCTCTATCACGAGTGGACACGAGACGTAAACGAGCAGGAGATAGATGCCAAACACCGCTGCGGATGCTATATAACCTATGACGGAGGGCCTATTTCTGGTACGGTTTTCTGCTGACGACAGTTTGCCTTGGCTGAAACAAACGTTGCCCATGACCGCATCCAATGACCAGCGTCGAACGCACCTGGTAAGTCTCGGACGCACGCCATTTCTTACTGCCGTTGTCCAACGGCGCGACGTAGCAGTAAGCCCACCGCATTGCACAGCGTATGCGTCACCCTCGCTCCATCACCGCCTTCTATCCATCTATCCTTGTGCTTCTAGGGGCTTTCCGGAGCCAAAGCCACTCGTCGGGGGCGATGGCTGCCTAGGGCACCTGCATCCCGGACTTGACCGCAGGACGCTCGGCCGTACGCTCGAGCCATGCCTGGTGGAAGTCATCAGCCCCACAACCACCCACTCGCTAACCATGCCAGGATACGCGACCAACCTTGACGTGGGGCCACTCGTCCATGCTCTCGATCCCAGTAAAGCCGTGCGATTCGACCCTGGGGCAAAGGGAGTCAGCTCCGAGGTCATCGCGAAAGAAAAGAACGGCCCTCGCGGTGCTGAGCGAGAGTTCGCGACGCGGAGGGAACGCGCCTTACCAGGGAAACGCGTTGATATCTGCGATGCTGTACGCCCCGCGGCCGGTGCCCGCGAGCCAGTCGCGCCCGCGGAGACGGATGTCGAGCACGCCGTACAGCCGCTTCGTCTCCGTCAAATAACCTGCAGCGTTCTGGAAGTGAGTCTGTCTGGCGGGCACGCGGCGGGAGGGGGAAGGGTGGCGCACGCTTTTTGGCATAGGGTATGTCTTCGGGCGCGGCCCTGAGGAAGTGATTGGCTGGAGGTGGTGGTCAGGCGCGGACGATGAATAGCGTCATTTGTTGCCGACGCATGGAGCCTGTGCTCACCTTGGCCCTGCATCGGTCCGATGCCACCGTGCTGCGAGGATCAAGAGGGGAGATTGGCGATTGTGAGCGGCCTGGAGGGCAGGGACAGGTGACCAGGGGACGTACTGAGAAGAATATCCACTGCAGCATCTCGCTGTACTCGTCAGGCCGCGTGCGCGGGTCGAATGAGAACTTGAGCTGGGAATCGTAGTGCTGCTCGAGGTAGAGGAGGATCGCTGCGCTCTCGAAGACTGTGAAGTTCTCTCGGTTGCTGTCTACCAGGACCGGGATGCGGCCGTTCGGGTTCATCTTGATGAACCATGGCTCCTTTTGCGTGTCTTTCCTGATGTCTATAGGATGCACGCTGTTGAGAAGTCAGGGCAGCGAGCAAACATAATGATCAGCCCGACACGTACTCATATTTCAGACCGTACTGTTCCTTCATTTCCTCAAGCAGGAGCGAGACCTTCCGGCCGTTAGGGGTCGGGGCCGTGTACAACTGCAGCGGCTTGCTAGACGGCGACGTTGCGGTGGAATACCGGCTGGTTTGCGCCGAGCGACATCCCCGCGGGGATTGCGCTTGCTTCGGTGCGCTGGCAGCCTGCGCCCCGACGCGTCTCGACATGGGCGGGCGGATAACAGAATGTATCAGTGACGTCATCGCTTGATGAATGTCCGGCTGAGAAGAGAGAGAACTGATGGTGATAATTGGTTAATTGAGAGCTCAGACACAACAATAGCCGGAATGAATCTGACCCAAATTGAAGAGGCAGCCTTCGCGCTGCGTCGTCAAGAACCGCGAAGCAGGGAAGCAGGCAAAGTTTTTGTAGGACGCGGGAGTCGGCGTCTACTGCATCAATCGGCCTGGAAATGATGACCAACGGTCTCTGTCAGCTTCAGCAGACTCACATCACACAAGCAGTCAAATCCTATCAAGTAAGCACCCCGCTGGCAGTGTTGTTATGGGTCAAGTCAAGGTCATGACCTTTTCGTCAAGTCATGACGCGATCGGTCAAGTCAAGCGGTCATGCCCAGTGAGAACCGTCCCTTTTCCCTACGTTTTGTGGCTTTTTCTAGCTGACATACAGACAGATATCGCTAGAGATCGGTAGATATCGTAGGAGATAGGCAGATATCGCTACAAAAAGCCAATTGCCATCACTCGTCTTTTCCCCTCGTTTTGTAGCGTTTCTGGTCGAGTATGGTCTATTCAGGTCTGTCGCGACATACAGGAAAAGACACAAAAAGGTACAATTCGATACAAAAAGCCCACCGCGCGCACGCACCCGAACACGCACCCGAACACGCAGCGGCGCGCGCACCTGCACCTGCACCTGCACCTGCACCTGCACCCGCACCCGCACCCGCCCCCGCACCTGCACCTGCACCCGCACCCGCGTCCGCGTCCGCAACTGCACTCCACCTCCTCCCCGCGCACCGCACCCTCCGAAAGCTACATCCTACCATGTGTGTCCACCAGTATTCGCTGTCCCCGATTGCACGTATCCGGGGCAACAAGCATTTGTGCATCTGCCGTAATTCACACCTCTGTGGCGCGTTCATTTTGTATACCAGATAGTTAGCCCAGATATGCACTCGCAAACAGCCCATGACGCACCTACTCTTGCCAGTGCACAGAACTCAGACTATCCTTTCTCAGCCTCTCAGATATTCTGTGCAGGCTCGCGTTTTTAGCCCTTAGGATGTATGAGAGCAGGGACGTGTGCGCACCGCATTTTTGGGACCTCCCTTCTTGCACGGCGCAGCTTCCAAATCGCCATCGAGTCGAATGTATTTCTGGGCGACATTTGAGTCAGCGTGCTCACATCTGTAGCCGTCACAAAGCACTTACGTGCCGCATGTTTTGCGTTGGGATCCTCTCCTTGTAAAAGGTGTCGAATTGCGTCTCCGTGCCCTCGGGATTGCGAGATTTCCAGATTCTGGCACACAGATCTCTACAAGGCAACATCAGTATATAATGATAACGAAATTGGGGCACGCACTTCGGCTTTGTCTTCGACGGTGTGGGGGGCCAGACACGCGGCAGAGCATCTGGTTTTGATGCGTTGATGGCTGTGGTGTCAACAGCGTTCGAGGGACCGGGACTGGGGCGAGGCGAGGGAGAAGGGGGGTTTGAATCACCATTGGGCGAGGGCCCCAATGTTGCCCACATATCGGCCCTGTAAGAACACGACATGAAATGTCAGATTCGTGCAAGACGATGTGAAACGCGCTTACAGCGGGTCCGGAATCTGCGAATTGTGCCCAAGCGCAATCACGGTCAAGTTCAGTACACATTATTGACATCGATACATACAATGATCCGACTCTTGGGTGCCTGGGGACCATCGGACACATTGCCAAGCCCATGGGTTGCCACACTTTCGAATCCGGACTGCGTGTCAGTGCGAGCGGCATTGAACGTTGCGCACACGTCGGCAAGGGCGTTTGCCAAGAGGGGGGAGCTGCTCTGCTCAGCGTGGGCAGACTCCTGAGCCAGGATGTCGTTACGTGCGATGGGGTCGAGGGCACACGTGGATTCTTCTATGCCTGGGGAGTCATGAGGCGATGGTATAGCAGCGCTCTCAGGGACGACGAGTGCATTGTTATCTTGCCCGCTGGGAATCGTCGATGGCCCGGCAATCTGGATGAAAACATCGTCAGAATCCATCAATACGACCTGGCGGGGCTAACAGACGAACATCCCGTTCTGCTGACTGAGAGGGCATTCGGAAGGGTGCGTCGTCGAGGTTCATTGCAATAGAGCTATCAGGCGGAATGTCTCCGCGGGAGTGTGCACAGTGTTAGTGGGACGTCGTCTGAACCACGGCAGGGCTGTCAATTTACCTCGGGTGCGTTTTTTGCTTCCCCGGCTGGATTTTTTCTTGAGAGACTTGTTCTTGCGCCTGAGGCTGCCGGCGAACTGTGAGTAGACGTCAATAGCAATCTGCTCGACCTTCCAGTCGAAGTCGTTGAGTTGTAGTTCCGGAAAGCACTCGTACATGTGCTTATACAGCGCTGTCTTCATCTCCACAGAGGCCCCTGCCTTCCAAGTCTCCGGGAGGTCGTCGCGGCCTCGCAACCAAGCCCGCATTTCTGAACGAATTGCAGATGCACGGTCGCCGTCAATCGGGTTGCCGTGTGCGTCAATAACGAACTGCATCGTGACGTTTTCGTTCGAAATTCTGAGGCGCGTGGGGCCCTTGCGGCCCTTCGTGGCACCCAGGACTGTTACATCGTCTGCTCTCCTGTAGTCATCGAACTTTCTTTTGGTCCAGTACTTAGCCTATAATTTGCGGAGATGAATCTACGGCACGGCAAAATAAAATGGTAGAGTACATGCCGCGTGAGGATAGTCCTGCTCACGTCGAGGTACGACCAAGATCTTCCCATCAGGACCACGCTCTGGAAAGGCATCAGTAGCGTTTGGGTGGGCGGGAGGCGGTGTTGACCAAAACAATGGTGTGCCTGGTGTGAGTATATGCGCATATGTGCATTTAGTATATACATGAGGAAATGCCACTGGACCGCTCACTGGGGTTCAAGGGATCAGGTTGGCTTGCAGACGACGTTAGCATAGTCCCTGGCAAGGGCGAGCCTTCTGATGGCCCCGAAGGCACATGGCTTCCAAGGGGCATCGTCTGCAGACATTCGACACTATGTATTTGAATTAGCAGGGCCCGTGACATCACAATTGAGACGATATACTCTTGACTAAGACGTTGAGACAATGAGACAACATGAGAGACAGTCCGACAGTAAGAGCGATACATTGACCTACTCAATGCCATGACTACGGAGCATAGCCTTAAGGTGAGCGATTTCGGCTCGCGTCTGAGCCAATTCGGAAGAGGAGGGTGCGCGATGGCTTCCCGAGTTCTATGGATGTACAGGGCAGTGCGCGAGGCGCTGCGCACACGAGGATGACACTTACCTCTGATCCAGCGTCGGGCAAGGGGTTTCGGGTGCCAATAATTCTCCTTAAAGGAGACTCAAATGTCTCATGAATGTTTTTGATGAGTATATGCGTTATCAAGTGAGATGAGCAGCGTGACATACCGAGCAGGGCACTTCAAATGGGGTACTGAGCTCACGGTGGGTAGCGTCTGGATGGCTGAGTGATCGTGCGATTGTGCTCCCAGTCGGGGTCAAAAACATTGTAATAACAGGCAGCAATATAGGGCAGGAATTGCCAGGGCAGGACAATGAGAGGGGGAGGGAAAGATGCTGGCAGCAGGATGCTCGATGCGCGTCGCAAAGCACGCGTCAGGTCACGTGATGGCGATGGCTCCCCGGCAAGGCAGTGAGAAGACGGCGTAGCGGCCTGTGGAGGATCGCATTCTCTCCATTACGCTCTCCTGTCAACATGTCCACCGCCAAACTCCCCGAGGTCCTAATCATGGCATGGGGCTTGCAACAGAACATTCACAAACATCCCGAAGGGCACCGCAAGATGATTGTGACCAGCATACTCGCTTTGGCGACCACGGCTGCACGTCTAGCATGCCATCTGGCAGAGGACCGATGCACAGACACTATAGACACATATTGCGTTGTACAGGCCCAAATCTCTCAAGGCACCAAGGGCGTCTTAAACGCATTGAGTAACGTTTTCGACTATTTCGAGGGCACATCAGCAGAGCTTCACTCAAACAGAGGGAATCCCACAGTAGACAGCGCCCGGCATAGCGCCCAGGGGCCGCCGTTAGGTCCTTCGATAGCTGCAGGCTTTCCTTCCGACCACCACATCGAAGGCGTCGCGGCCATGGGGCCATGTTTGGATCCCTCTCTTCTAAACCCACTTGCTGATACACTTGTTCCACCTCTCCTGATGGCACTCAAGGCACCGTTGCTTGAATCGCTGGTGGTCCCACTGCGGATGTCGTTGGCTCAAGATCCTGCTCTTGTAGCTAGCCTTGTGGCGGCCCTGCACGGTCCTTTGGCTGACGAGCTACTGTCGCGCGAACCTCTAGTGTCTCTCTCTGGTCAGCAAACTTCTAGCAGTAATCAATTCGTTCCCCAGGTGTCCCCGGTGTCTTCGAAGGCTCTGGATCCTATCGCAACATCCTCCTCCGGATTTCGGGTGAAACATGGCTCTCGCACAGGAGAGGACAGTGCCCAGACGAAGAAGAAACGGATGCTCCCACCTTCGTGGCGTGATTAGTAGAACTAGGGTGAGCAAGTTTGAGCACATACGTTTTCCAGCAGGTTTCTGACTCCATCGCAGACGGAGCCGTCGGAATCGCGCACACATACAACGTAGAAACCTGAGTGTCACGCGCTCCCCTGGTTACCGCCGAACCTTATCTCGTTTTGTTCTGCTGCTGTGCTCGTCTTTGCCCTGTTTCGCCTTCGCTTCTTATCCTCTCTCTTGTGCTGTCCGCCCATCCGATGTCGCCTCAGCCCTCTGTTCAAGTTTTCGCCGTCTCGACGTCCATCCCTCGCTCTGCCTCGGCCACGTCTTCGCTAGACCCGTTGCATATGGGCGTTCACATGTGAACGCCCATCTTCCCCCCGTCCGAGTCCGTGCTGTACCCAGCGTACCAAGCTTACCCAGGACGCCAGAGATGCGCTCTTACGAACCCGTCACCCCTCGAAGGGATCCTGCTGCCTTCGGCTGGGGCACCCTGGTCGGCATCAGAGAAGTCGCCAGCGTGGGGTGCCCGTAACGACGACTACGAATTTGTGGCGCAGGAACGTGTTGACGAGGTCAAGGAGGAGGAAATGGTCGATGTAGAGAGGCCCGAGGACGAGAGGCACTCAGGTAGCGCGTGGACAATGGAGGCAATCGCACACCAGACAAACATTTTGTCGAGCGCATGTGTATGTACCAACGATGTAATACCGACTGTCATCATATTGTCAAGAGTCTACAAAACAGCATCGAGTCCATCAACGTCTGTACTAAAATCCTGAACTCGTCCGGCAGTGTTAGCAACGTCCAATCCTGGCTTTTCAGTCACAAAAAACCTGTTTCCAAACAGCACGTCTGCCTGCGGGTGCGCAGCTTCCTGGGATGTCATGGGAAGGGGAACCATGGCGATCACAGACACAATCTCCTTGACGAAAATAACCACACGAGATGCATCCCCTAGGTACTGGCATGCTAGTAGTGTCCCCCGAGAGAACGTAAGGATCTCCTGGTCAGGTGGCGTGAAACATGCGACCATCGCAAGGGTCTCGGTGTGACTATGCAGCCGCATCCGAAAGTAGTACTGTACCTCTGCAAAACGGCCATCTCGGAGCTGAACAAACATCTGAGAGTCCAAAAATCATGTAGCAAACAGAGCCCGTAGACGTACCTTTACCATCCGGGCACGCCGTGGCTTTCGCCCTCGAGCCTCTAAGGCAACCTCCTTCCATGCACAGCGGGCGACCTGCCCGTTGGGGAGACGCAGTCGAGCCCAGCGCACCACGGGAGCGGCCCAGTTGGGATCCTGGAGGTGGAGGCCCTGATTGCGGAGAAAGTCGCGCAAGGCACGGGCGTCGAGAGGGGGGATGACACGATGACGGGAGTCCCTCGCTGTAAGCAGGACATACCCATCCCCTAGTTCTTCGGCGTACTGTGGGAGTGGTGCATCGGTATCTGCAAGGGAAGGGATCATGGCCTTTAGAGCGTTGATCTGGCAGCGGCGCAAGGCACGCTCGGATACGTTAGCATATGGAGTGACGTGCTGCTTGATTTCGCGCGTGATGTTGCCAATGAAATTCTCCAAGGTCCATTGCGAATGAAGCGCACCCGGACCGATACGCGTTGCCTCCGGGACGATGTGAGCCAGGGTGTGCAAACTGGGCCGAACAAAATGAAGGCGCTCTCTGCGGCGTCCGTAGTACAGCTTCTCGTACTCCTCAATATATTGAATAAAGGATGTGTGTGCAGATGGAAGATCAGTTTTCGGACAAAAACGGAACTGTAAGACGATGCGGACACCAAAAACAAGGCGGCAGAAGTGTTGATAATAAATAGAAGGGAGGATGTGTCGGAGAAGGCCTGGGAGAAGGCCGTAAACATAGAGCAGGAATTCCCAGGCCTTGTAACCGCTCGAAATCTTCTTGGAGGGGTCCCGGGGAGGTCTATCGAAGGAGCCAGGCAGATAGCGGGTCGCGTCAGCCACGAGTTGGCCATGTTGCCTCCATAATTCTTGATCAGAGAATATGGCGAAGTCCCAGCTCGTCTTATCGTCAGGAGGTTCGCAGGTGAGTGTGCCCCGCAGGAGAGACATGATAAGATCCGTCAGATTGAGCGAAATTAGGTGCATGAGGTCAAGAGCAAACCCACCCGGAACCCCGAGGAATCGCGCCAGGCCACTGAAGAGACTTGGCTTCGCGATGCCAGTCTCTAGCCGCAACCGAGTGTACTCAGCCTTGTTCCTCGCGGCCCGAACACGCTCGAGGTTGTCCATGTAGCGCTGCTGCGCGGCAGAAGTGTCGGTGAGTGTTGGGACCCGAAGCGACATATTGGGGGGGCCATCGTGGTCGCCACGCGGACGTAGGAGGGCTGGATAGTACGTGGGGTGATGGGGTTTGCGACGGCCAGGCTGTCCGCAGTATAGTCGACAGCCTTGGCCACCGTTGTGCCCAACGAGCCCATTAAGATAGGCCATTGCCGGGGAGTCGGCGGTTGCAAGGAGCAGGTAGATGAGCGACGTAAACTGCCGTTGTTGTGCGGCGTCCCAAACCTGGAGACCTTCTCGCTGTAGTGCGGCGACATGATAGAGCCCGGGGAACAGGAAGGAGTCAATATTGCGGGGCTTGTTGGGCCCCCCAATAACGGCTCCAGGGAGGACATATCGCTTCTTGTAGCGCAACGTCGGGGAGAGATCGAGCAGGACCCAAATGTAAAACCAAGTGTCGGATTGCTTTGAAGCATAGAGCTGAGCACCATCCAGGGAGAACATAAGAACCATATCATCGGGACCAATGTCCCCGGCCGCAACAGCCTGGAGATAGTCGGCCCCGTAGTACAGGTCGTCAACCATCGTGAATGTGTCCGTACTCCCTTGTGCTTGCCTGGCCTGTACTTCGGCGAGGATACGCTCCGTCTCACGACCACGGTGGCGCATGTCGAGTGCCGTGGTTGGGGACGCCCACAAGCTCTGTAGCTGCGGACCCAGGGGGAATGTAAGGAACGTACGCCGTGGAACGCGCTTCATGCGATCCAGGCTGACAGCCTCGTAGCGCGGCTCCCGACAGGTAGGAATCGGGCACTCGAGAAGGTTCTCAAAAGGGCCCGTGTACGCGACGCACGAGTTCGGGCACATATCCGTCCGCACGGCGTGAACCCCAGTGACCTGACCCACGAGCCTCTTGACCTGCTCATAGGTCGGGATGGCTGGGCCAGAAGCGGACGAAGCCTCGAGGTACCCAAGCATAGCCGAACGGACATCGGAGTAGTTGTCCTCCGAGGCATCGCCACGCGCGAGATACATGCGCATCCCAGCCAGCTGGCCAGCGTCGAGCTCAGGGAGGCGCATGCGAGGGTTCCGAAGCCTGTCCAGAGTGTCTCCGTCAAGGCCAGATGCATCCAACGTCGCCCCGCCAAGCGCGTCGATAAAGGATTGCGCAATCCGGAAGTCCCTCCGGTGCGCATCGCGAGGGGCACCCTGATCCTCCGTGTACCCCACCTCCGGCTCCGATTCGGATTCCGAACGAGAAGAACGGGACTCGGAACGCTCCTCGGGCGCCGCACGTGCCCGAGGAGAGGTAGGAGGAGAGAATTGATCAGGTGGGGAACCTGGGACAGGGGGAGATGAGAAGCCTGGTCGCTGGGGAGTGCCTGTCTGAGGGGATCCTAGCGAGTCGCCCGGACACGTGTTCTCCTCGTCTGAGTACTCACTCGAGGTCTCCGACGACTCACTCGAGTTTTCCTGCCCTACGTTCTGCCTATGGCGCCCTGCGGCCTGTGCGATGCTCAGCGAGATCGTCTGAAACCCGCTCAATCAAAACCATGCATCAAAAAAAAGTTTTACAACGTACCTGTGCAGTTCGTCCTCGTGTGCTCGATGCGTGAACAATTGAACGTGTAATTGGGGGGGGAGGGGAGCGTCCGATGACTGGGGTATCCGTGCCAGGAGATAAGTGTAGTATAAGCTCGGAGTCAGGCGTGGTGCGATGCCTCGCGTGTCTATTGAAAGTGCGTAAAGCGACACTACGTAGAGTGCCACCGCAATACCTCCGGCAGTCACAGAGATATTGTACGATGGTATTCGGAGGCACATCGTCGGGCAAGAGCTGTCTGATAGGCCCAGGAGGAGGAGGAGGAGGAGGCTGCATTGCACTTGTCGCTGTGGAGATGAGGTGCGTTGGCTCGAACGATCCGCCCGAGTCATGTTATATGTCTGCAAGAGATATATTGTTATCTAGGCTACCGAAGGCACACCGTTTCTGCGCCGCACCAAAGGGTCGAGTTTCGGACCATTGGCGGAAGAATGCATGGGTGCACGACTGGATGGTGACAGAGAAGCCGTTGCGATCCGCTCTAAGGAACGAGCAGAGACGACGGTGGACGCGGGCGAACCCAGATGCGGGTGAGACGGTACCTAGAGATACGCGGTTATGCATGACAATACATTTAGGAGAGCTGCTGACCGATCCTGCCGACGTTGCACACAAGCTGGCAGTCGGAGTGGGACTGGTCCTGTGCACGTGTCGTCGTTAGCACAACAAGGGTGAACTACTCCAGAGAACCTCCATGATGCGCTCTTGTTCGAGTCTGTGCATCGCTCGTCTGATACTTTGAGCAATTCCGGTCCCCTAGTGGGAGAGACGGACGGAAAAACAGAGCATGTTAGGAAACCATCTGACATAGCGAGCGCGCTGACAAACCTCTTGCAGGATGTCTCATGACCATACTGCCGTGTCGTGTTCCGCACGATAAGCATGTACGCAGGGAACGGTCTCTGCAAAAATGGTGACTGCAAAAGGGGATCATTCAGCAAGCGAAGATACGCACTAATGCTTCCTTGCACGACATGGATTCGTCCTAGAACATATGATGATCCGGCCGAGAGGATGTCATGCGGACGAGTACGTCCGCATACTCGTACAAGCGGCCATGCCGTTACGACCATTAGGAAACATGTCATGTGGAGCAAAGTGTGCATCAGTGAATTTTCTATGTACAAGGAGGGATGGTCTGAAACATACAGCGAGCGAGGCAGAGGGGCTCGCCCAGGCGTGCGGTAGACTCACCGGAAACCAGTCGGTGATCGATACAACCGACGGACAGGTGTATATATGTATGGCGACGATCGTGTCGATACACTCAGAGCGAACGATATATATGTGGCAAATCGACGTCGATCAGCCATTCTATATATATGAAAGTGATCATCGATACATGAAATCATGACTAGATAGACGCCGAGCTGTCATCGCGACAGCTCTGAAACGATGGCAAAAGACGGCATTCGCTGGGAAAAGCCACATATCGTAGGGAAAAGGGTTGGTTTTCACTGGGGGTCATGACCGATGGTCATGAGTCAGCACGTGATGTGTTCGCCACACTAGGGGCTTGCCGCGCGGATCCGTTCAGCACGCTATACCGGCGCGTTGTTGGTCTGAGCTTGCAACCAAATGTTGTACCGCATTCTATCCTTGTATGAGTTGAATTTTTGATTGTCTATGCTTCACAACCAAAGGGCTGATGTATTGGAATCTCTGTGCTGTCGCCCGTGACCACTGGCACTCAGAGAGAGAAGACGCGGCCGCACACCCCAGCTTGCAGCCCCTGGCCCTCCTTCAGCCATTTGAATTTCTTTTCTAGAGGCCCCTCACTTGCCTCTTCCCTTTAGTTATACCTCTAATGTCTCTGCTCCTGTGACAGAAAATAATCCAGCTGCATTTTGGAATGCATGTAAGAGGACTCTTGAGCACAAGGTTCTACACTATGATGAGGAGACCGTGCTCGGATCACAGTATGCTATGTAACGGGCACGCAGAGAGTTCTCATACACTGAAGGACCTCTTGACGACATTTGCTTATGGACTCTCCGAATGCCTTGTATTCCGAACACAGTCTGCTTACCCCTGCAACACTTGTATGCCTCAAGTTACTCTTCGTTGTACTACATAAAATCACTCTAATTTATTCATATAACGTTCATAAACTATGCCCAGTACAATAGCAATTCAATCTATAATTTCGATAGACTCGCTACTACATGCCCATTATATGGTAGACTCGCCTTGCCGCCGCGTTCTGCGATCACGTGCTGACCTTTGACCGTTCGGTCATGACCGATGACCCGGGCCGTCAACGGTCATGACTCGGGGTCATGACGGGGTCATAACAACACTGCCCGCTGGACCATGTATGAGTACTCACGAGTGCTGCTAGTGGGGTATTAGGGCGGGATGCGACGAAACCTGACAGCCACCACGGAGATCCCTTGGCCGCCCCAGGCGCTCATCGGATCAGGCTCATCAGAGCACTGCCACCCTGAGTGGTCAGGCGCTCCGCAAAATCTCTCTCCCCTTCGGACAACATCTTCGTTGCTTGCCACTGGGAAGGGCTCCACTCATAGCTCGACGGTTGCGACAGTGTGCTGTTTGTATCGAACTGGAAGAAGCTTTGCTGAAGTTTCATCCACCATCGGAAAATAATCATCATCACAGGACGCGCAGGAAGCTGCGTGGGAGGACATCGTCTGCCGAGATATCTGGAGCACCTGGTCGAGGTTTTGTACGTACAATTGCTACGTGTTTCGCGCAATTCATTAACATTCATTAAGCATGAACTTCTGTTGCGGTCACGGCATGCCAGCAGGCACAGCAGGCACTCAGCTGAAGTAGCCGGTTGTCAAGGCTTCCGGTTGTCGTTGAAGCACACCAATTGGGTTCCCGATACAAGTCTCAGGAAAAAATGAGAAGCAATCATCATGCATCTGCATGCGCGAGGTCCCATCTACAACATGCTTTACAGATCAATCTGGGGGCGGGTTCAGGGATGAGCACTGTGAGAACGCCAGGAACGGTCAGATCATCTGGATCATCTTCTCCTTTCTACCGGATCGTGCGGTGGTGGTCCCCCATTTCTCCACCCCTCAAGGCGTGACACCATCTCCCTATCCGCCGTCTAGAATCCTTCCTGCCTTGTCAAGACTCTGCGGGATCAAACCCGTGCATCGCGCTCCTGCCTTCGCGGGAACGCAAAAACTCTTGCTCAGCGCCGAGCTCGCGGTCCCCTAGACCCCGCCTCTCGCCGCACCCGTACGGTCTCTTCGCAAATCGGAAGCGAGTATGGCGCCGGCGATATATACTGATGGGCTCTCCGGCCCTCCGTTTTATGTTATCACAACGCGCTCGACAGCCCGCAATTCCGTCACGCCTCTCTCCCTTCCCCTTCCATGAGTGCTGAGGTACGCGTAGCCTCCGTTCTCCAGGTTCTCGTCCGACATGCAGCTCAACATCGCGCCCTCTGGGTGTAGTCGTCCAAGTCGAACCCGCCGCTGCAGGCACTCTTGCCCATCAATTTCCTCATCATCGGTGGAGGTGCGTCGATCGATCACTCGACATCGCTCATAGGCTTCGTGGCGTCAACAGTCGTCGTTAACGCTGAACGCTTGAACATCGTCAGGCATCGCAGGGCTTGCTTGTGCATTAGCCCTTCGACGCGTCGGCCACCGTGTCACTGTCCTGGAACGGACGGATAAAGTCACCGCAGTACGTAGCATGCGTTCCAGGGCCCGGATAAAGGCCGCCTCTCATCAAGAGTCTTATTACGTCCTTTGCCAGCGTGGAGATGGCGGTGTACGATTGCCACCGAACCTCACCAAGATTCTGTTCCATTGGGGCCTCAAGGATATCTTGATGAAAAAGGCATCAATCACGAAACGGCTGATTTTTATGCGATGTAAGTCCGGCTATCCTCTCGTGCTGCCCTGGGCTCCTTGTGACTGTTCGACTTTGCTATCACATCTAGATGAGACGGGGGAGAGGCTTGGTGAGCATGTGTGGGACGAGGAGATGCTCAAAGAAACACGAGGAGTTTTCATGATGCTTACGGTAAACATATGTCCATTTACATCGTTTGTACGAGACCCCCACTGACTCCAGACATGCCCCTTCTAGCATTCCGAACTCTACGACATTCTATATGATGCTGCAACTGGGCTCGGGGCGCAGGTCCGGTACAATGCAAACGCGGTAGAGCTTGACCCTGCAGAGGAGCTCGTGAGGCTCGACACGGGCGAGGAGCTGTCCGCGGATGTATTAATAGGGGCAGATGGCGGATTTGGCGTCTGCAGGGCTGCGATCCTCGGGAATGGAGTACGCGGAAAAGGAACAGGGCTCGCGGTCTACGAGTAAGTCACGCACTTCTTTGGCACGTATATGGGCGGCAACGCTGAAGTCTTCTGCTAGCACCATTGTTCCGAGCTCTTCTCTCCCGGAGTATGCGGAAGAAATCCGTGAATGGGTATGTTTCACATGGTGTCATGAATACATCGTGTGCTGATTTGCGGAAAGCACGGACAATTCGTAGCGTTCGGCAACCGCCATGCGATTGTCGCATACCCGATAGTGCGTCTGGTCCGCGTCTTCGGGCGTCAGCTAGCTCACCAGCATCCAGCATGGAATAGAAGATATTGCATTTCAATTTTACGCGCCCGATAACGAACACGAGGGCAAATACGGTAGTAATCCAACGGTGGATGTTCTATCGGTCGTAGATGGTATTAGCCCCCAGTGAGCAATCTCCGTTCCTAATGTCATAGGTATTGGCTCTCATTCGGACTCTGTAGACTCGCAGTGGTCGCCAAGGTTGCTCGGAAAGCTGTGCGCGTCTCGATCCAGGAACATCCGGATCTGGAGGACTGGGTTCACCCACACGGGCGGTTGGTTATCATTGGCGAAGCCGCGCACCCCTTTCCTGTGAGTCAATCTCTTCGAGAAGCGTACGGATTCGCGTCTCTGTAGTCAGGGACGAAATGTGTTCCCATGCTCACATCTACACAGCCTTCCACGATCCAAGGCACGGCGATGGCAATCGAAGATGGTGCGGTGCTCGCGAAGCTCTTCTCGCACCTTTCGGAAGAGCGGCAGATTGAGAGCTTCCTGTACGCGTTCCAGGAGCTGCGCCAGGAGCGCGCCGATACTGTTCGCCACGGCGAGTTTGCGAGTGTCATGTACATGACCGCCGACGGCGAGCTGGCGACAACGCGGGACGAGAACATGCGCCGGAAGGCCGCCGCGGGGAGGAACGTGCTCGATGGCGAGGGGGACTGCGACGCGGCGAGCAAGTGGGAGGAGTATCGCGTCATCTTTGGATACGACTGCGAGGACGAGGCGGACGACTGGTGGGTGCAGTGGGGGATGCTTCGCGAGCGCGCCCTCGATCGCGAGTCGATACATGCGTCGAGCGTTCCGTCATTACTCGATCTCTATCCGATGATGTCGTCTGTGCAAGTTACCTCCACGGATGGCGAATAGGACGACGGCCGGGCGTGCGATTGACTGCGATAAGCCGGACTGATTTCCCCTTGCACCTCATCGAACTCTTTAATCGTACTACCTGCTTTCGATATCCTACAATCGCTTTCTTGCTATCATCTACTCGTACGCACAGCTATATCGCTCATTATACGCACTGGATGTACTAGTACGATTACCCACACTATCTGGATACCATTCGTTGCTCGCCTCTGATTCGAGACAAGATGTCAGAATAGGTACGTGGTCGGGCTATGTATCAGATTCCATTGTATCTCGTACGGTCAGGTCGCATTGCACGATGCTGCTTCCGAGGATGTGATTGCTCGCTCAAGTTTACCAGCCATCTTGACACTTGGAGTTGGAGAGTTGGCCCAATTCGAGCCCACTGGTAACTTGCAAGACCTGCGCGCTTTCAAGCCCGCCTCGCATCAGCGACAGCACCAAACAATCGGCCGCCCGTCGGGCCGCTGGGCAGGCTCCCAGCCACGGTAGGCGTTTGTTTGCTTGTATGTATTTGGCTGGGTAGGCGGCGGTGAGCGACAGCGTCGGGCTGAATGGCGCTGAGAGGAAATTAATGGTGGGCTCCGTTCCCGCCCTTTGTGGGCGCACAGCAATCCGACACCCCAATTGCTACCAATTGCTACCAATCGCCAGTCCCGAGCCAGGCCAAAGCAGCGTATATATCCCGCCTTGTTCCGCCATGGCTGCCTCGCCACCTCTGCTCAACGCAGCCCCCTTCAAGCTCTCAGACATTCTCTGATCCTCCCGAGCTACCACGCTTCCCAGTCTTGTCTTGCATAACAACACCTTATCCATCCACACCATCGCGATGTCTCCTTCTGTCGCCCGCCCTACTTTCTTCGGGCTCTTCGACCGCCCGGTGACACCCGACGTCGAAGCCCAATTGCCCCAGCCCACCGCGGCCCGTCTCCACACGCGCGACGCGTCTATCGCCGAGGAACCCGTTGACTCTGTCGACCTCTTCTTCGGGGTGTCGCGGTCATCCCCTCGGTCGTCAGTCACCCTGGTGGGCACTCGCGACAGTCGTCACGACGAAGTCCGTCGCTCTTCCTCAGTCGATGTCGAGGCTCTGCCTCCTTCCTACGAGGACTCTATCGAGCTCCCTGCGTACACGCAGGTTTCGGACCAGCCTACGTTGGCAATGTACCTGTTCAAATTTGGCTTCCGTGAGTATCTCTGGACCGCGCGCTGGCGTATCGGATAGCGTACTGACCACGTCTGTTCGTTCATGCAGTGTTCCCCCTCTTCTGGGTGGCAGGTGCATTCATCTTGCTCTCGCCGCTTCGTGCTCCCGAGGATTGGGAGTCCACCAAGCCCGAGGTCGTGCGGCGCGAGTTGATCGAGTCCATGCGCCGCACCGAGATCAAGTGGGCACGGCGCTGCCTTATCGCCCTCGCTGTCCTCACCCTCGTCCTCGTTGCCGTCGGCCTCAGTGCATTCCTCATCATGCGCTTCTAATCGTCATCATATTCCCTGATGCTCTTCGAGACCGCCAATCGTTCCACCCCCACATGCAAACAAAATGCGGGCCGCGGCACATCCGATGCCCTATCTCCACCATTCCTTCTTGGACTTTTTGGATGACCAGCGCGCCCTCGCGCATTCTCGACGCGTTCATTGCTACCGCCTGGGCGGTGCCTCATTGCTTCACCTGTCTCTCCCTGCGATTGTATCTTTATTGTGTATCTTTATTGCATAACTGTATCACTAGCACAGAACTCTACTTCCAATTCAGTAACCTTGTCATCATTCTACCTCGTTTGAGCACAGTCGGCCGCCAGCACAGCAGAGTTCCTTGATCCAGGAGTTCAAGATTTGCCAAGCATCGCCAAAGTCGTGTCTTTCAAACCCGACTGTCATTAGGATGTGCTTGTGTGGAATACGCCCACACGGCCTGCAGCGACTCGCATCTCTCGAGCAGCGTACCGGCCTTAGCGCTCATCGGCAGCTTGTCCACGACGTCCCACTGGTGATGGACCTTCGTTTCTCCGTTTCCTGTGTCCCTCTCGGACTCGCAAATGCAGATTCAAAACGTCAAAGCTGGAAGAGAATCAACTTGGATCCGACGAGCGAGGGTCAGCAGGTTGCCGTGGAGATAGTACATTCCTGTAGTATTTGCGTGAGCTGAGGAGATGAGAGTCGGGAGATGCTTACGAGCCGTTGCTCCATGTCCCGGTCGCCGTCGCCCTCAGACAAAGAAATCAGCCTCCTGAACGTCTTGAGCGAGTTGAAGTCAGGCCCTTGTCACGGGCAAAGAGACTTGAATCCTAGCCCTGGTGCATGGTGCGCGACGCATCGCTCCCTGAGATGACGAGGTAATCTGGACCGGTGGAGGCCACGATTGCGCCGGCTTGCTGGTCCTTCCCTTCTAAGCCCACCGGTTCGTACTTAGCGACATGAACTGACGTCATGGGACTAGTGAGACCTACTGACCTAGCATGTACAGGAGGAAGGACCCGGCCGTGGTGTATTACGCAGAGACGGCCACGACCCAGCCTGGCGTTGCTGAGCGATAATGAGGTCCCGATGCTCCAGCGAAAGGCGCTCCATCGTCCTTCTCAAAACGACCCTGTACGTAAGTGTTTTGAAAACCTGGAGGGGATTCAAATAGCGTCGTAACGTTTGCATGGGGCGGGCCCTAGTAGACATTCATGCCGACGTGTGCTTCAACAAGGCGCGGTTTGAGAGATGTTGAGACGAGGATCGTGTGCTTTCCCCCATCGCCGACGGACGAAACGTGAGGGTGGCGGTAGTAACGTCCGGGTTTCTCCGAACTTCAGTCAACGTCTGGCATGACAGTGCACCGTGGGCAGGGCCATCTGCGCCGCCTGACCTCGCAGTATTGGCATGGTTCTCAGCAGTGTACTAATGTCCGAAACCGCCATAACATTATGAAGAACGTCGATGTCGACGTTCAAGACCGGATACTGCATTTGTGGAGCAACACGTCAAAGGTGTCAGCATATTCCTATGCGCTGTCGCATTCCTGTATGCACCTTTATGACCTGCAACGTCTCTGAGTTTCAGGTGTTTGTCCTAAAGCCGAGCCGAGCGGTAACGCGGCAGGGCAAACGAGTGGCGTTAGCTACCTGTTCTTGGTATCGACACGTCAACTACTTAAACGTTCATGACCTGATAACAAGTGGTTCAGTTGAATGACTTCTGACACGCCGCACTGTAGGAATGGGAGGCGGATGAACGGTAGACAAGTTACGCATCTTGATAGACACAACGTAGACAGAGCGCATCTACATCGGGATGAATATTGTGCAACTCGTCGACGATGGGTCACATGACGTCGAAGTTGGACGCTCGACGTGAAGTGCGTTTGAACATCGGTCGACAAAGGCGGCGGAATAGAGGACACATGTACTCGATCCTAATGATACATCTGTGGTATGACAAGTAATCCAGCAAGCAAGAAAGTCCATACGTGCTCCGCGCCGCCACATTCCTGCAAGGTTCCTGCCGCGCCTTTTACAGCTTCGACTTGAACTGATCCTCCGTGACACCCTTGCCCATCGCAGCCGTGGACGACACGCCACCGGTAACGGTCTTCAACAGGCTGTCCGCATAGTCCGCCCCACTCCACTTCTGATGAGTGAGCACGTCGCACCCACTCTCGCGCTCGGGCCGCTGGACAAGCTCGACGTAGGCCTTCATGCCCTCCTGCGCGTACGCCTTGGCGAAGAGGTTGCTGATGTACGCGTTCGAGTGCAGACCACCAAGCTGCAAGACGGACATAATCAGCACGCAAGCTCAGAGCGCTCGCATTAAATAGTCATATGACTCACCGTGATGAACTGCCAGACATAGCCAAACTTCCCAAGCTGCCACACGTACGACTTCATGTCTTCCGTGTTCAAGCCGGCGGCCTCCCAGTTGAACGAAGGGCTAAGGTTGTAAGCGAGCCACTGCTTTGGCCACACAGAGTGGATGCCTTCTGCGAACTCCTTCGCCTGTGCCAGGATCGGCTTCTGCGTCTCCATCCACAGCAGGTCCGCGTACGGCGAGTACGCAATTCCGCGCCACACCGCCGACTGCGTCCCGCCCTGGAACCTGTAGAAGCCCTCGCGCGTGCGAGGCGCGTCCCAATCCCAGGAGGGTACCTGCTTCAGCCCGAATTCCTTCTGCGCGATCTGGACAGCGGCAGGCCACGAGACGTGCGCGACGCGTTTGGCGAACTGGTCAACTTGCGCCGGTGACGCGCCCTGTGCGCGGAGCGCGTTGCTGAGCGTGGTCGAGAAAAGCTCGAGCTTCGCAGCCGCGATCCACCGCTCCTCGACGGCTTCGAGCGCGGCACCAGTCTTGCCGGCGCGCTCGGCCTCCGTGAGCTCGACGACGAGCGGGCGAAGGCTTGGGTTCGTCGAGCCGAGGATGTACGCGTGGTCGCGCTCGTCGATGTTGCTCGTGATAAGCGTCGCAGCCTCGGAGTCAATACGCGCGATGACGAGGTTGCTCACGCCCATGATGTCGAACTGGAGACGGATCGCGACGAGGCGGTTAATGTGCTCCTGCACGGGCACGAGCACCTTGCCCGCCATGTGCCCACACTTCTTCGTGCCGGGCGCCTGGTCTTCAATGTGGATTCCGGCGGCGCCGCGCTCGACGAACAACTTCGCGAGCTTCATGACCGCAGTCAATCCGCCATGGCCGGTGTCTGCGTCAGCGATGATCGGTCGGAGGTAGTCAATGGCGGGCGTCTTCGCGAGCTCGGCCTCCGACAGGCGGGAGCGCTCCTCGCGCTGTTTGCGGTCGTGGAAGAGTTGTGCCGTGAACAGGTGCTCAACCTTATTAGGCACCGTGTTGGATGGATAATCCGCCAAGTCCGGACCTGGCTCATGCGTGGTCGACGCCGTGCTCGACGACTGCCAGCCGGAGACGTAAACGGTTTCGAGGTACCTGGCCATCTGTGTGACCTGCACGGGGTCAAGGCTGCATCGTGTGATCAGCAGACGCCTTGACAGTGAGACGACAGAGCACTTACGCGCCATAGGTATGCGATGGAGTGCCGTTCTGGAAATGCCCAGAAAGGATACGCCAGAGCTTCTTGCCCTGGATGTCTGAGGGGTACGAGATGGGGATCGTGCCACGCTTGGCGACGACCTCAGCCGCAGTGTAGGGACGCGTGGTCTTCCACCAGCGGGAGTCCTGTTCGACGCGACGAATGACGAGCGCAAACAGTCAGCAACACGTGTGACATAGTGGGCAAGCACGCTGCAGACATACCTTCCACCACCGTTCGACCTGCGCAACTTCCTCCTCGAAGGCCTTGCGCTCGTTCAAGTGAGCCATCGTTCAAATGCGTATCCTGAGGGAAATGGTTGTGGGCTGTGGGGGAGGTCGTTTGGAGGATGCGGGGGAGCGTGTGGGGGGATGTTAGCGATCGGAAAGCCATTCCAGTGTCATTTTGTAGGACCTGGTGGCTGGGATGGACCGTCTGAAATGGGCTCTACCGTAACGCCGGCGCATGTGATTCGAGACCTCCGTTAGCTGCCCACGGGTATACTAGCGCCGGTGGAGTCCCGCCCAGGCGCTCGGTGCGCCGTCACCCTCCCGCTTGCAAACCGCTCTCGAGTCGGCCGAAACGCTCCCGAGAGAGCCCGGGCTGTCAGAATTCGCCTCGACTCAATCCCATGGACGCACTCTCAGTACGGCGATAAGGGGAGAGCCCACCGCTTATACGCTCTAACACCTCACGTTTGCGGGGCAGACGATCGTCGCCTGCGTCTGTGAACACCGCATCCGTTGGTCGGAACACTTACACAAGCATCTGAAGCGAGAAAACCTCGCGGTTGTTGGGCAGCTTGGACAGACGCCGCGTCGAAAGTTACGGTATGCCGTACCGAGCTGGAATTGGTGCCGGCATGCGCGAATCTGCAATTTGAAAAGGCCTGGATGGTCCATGCCGGAATGTGTTTTCCTGGCCTACCGTCTGTTCCCATCGTACACCAAACTGGCTAGCCCGTAACGAATGAAGAACGCCACCAGACTCCCGCAAACCTAGAGGAACAGATGTCAGACGCTTGCAATCCACCCCCGCGATGCAACGAGCGCGCTAGACTCAGTGTTTTTCCCACGACTAGCAAGCGGGGTAATCATGGGACTTCATGGTCGTCGACTCCGCAGCGTTCATTTCGCTCAAGCACGCCATCGGGCAGTCAAGACTTCGCTCCGACAAGGGCGGAGAGCAGACGTTCAGGACGTAAAGAGAGGAATTGCGTTGCTCACCTGTGTCGAAATCAGCACGCGCGTGAGACTGTCCTCCCTCCTCGGTCCGAACCGGAGCAGGAACACGTTCAGGATCGTCAAATTGGTCGTCGACGCGATCTCGCCCGTCTTCTCGTCGACTGCGAGATCCACGAGACCGAGCGCGGAATACAGACGGAGGACGAGAGTGGAGAGTCGAGATGGGCGCTTGTCTTTGAATTCCGCTCGTGAGGGGTGGAGGAGCTGTGTATCGGGATCGAATCTGCCGGAATCGACGGAAGAGCGAGAGTCAGTTCGGTACGGCCGAACGTGCAATGATTGATGCGGGGAAGGCGGGATTCCTTCGAATCCGGGAAGCGACGCGCAAGTCGAGCGGTGGAAGGAGAGTACGTACCTCGGGACGCGATGCCTAGGGCAGGGGATAAGCCCGAACAGTTGCGGACATGACAGCACGAAGTTGAAAATCTGGGGTAGGAAGAAGAGGAGCAGCGTCTTTGAGTAATGCGCCTGGATACCGACGACAGCGAAGGCCATGCCCGTGACATAGCACAACGTATCGCCTGGGAAGGCGCGCGCGGGATACCTGCATCGCGAGTTCGCGCATGTCAGCACTCCATGACATCGTTCAACTCGGGTCAAGCATAACCGATGAAGGCATGCGCACCAGTTGTGATACATGAACCCCAGACACACGCCAAGCAGCGGCAGCATGAAGTACAAGCTGAGCAAATGCCGCTCGACCAGGATTCTGCTGCCGTATGCCATCCCCGCACTCCATACTCCTCCGACCTTGACGCCATCTGTTACGTGCAGCGGTAAGGGGATGCGGAATCCGACGGCCCATGGGAGGAAGAGAAGGTCGTTGAGAATGATGGACAGCGAGATGACAACCGCCTGCGAGACCTCTGACCCGTTTATACCCGCCAGTATATTGATGCTATTGGTGCAGAAGGTTGAGAGTAGGGACATGTACACGTAGTACAGCGGACCTGTGAGGAAGGATCAGGGAAGGAGAAGTGCAGTGAGGGGGGAAGGGGACTGACCCAGGTGTAGCAGCGTGCCAAGCAACCATCGTAATGGTAAGGGCACGACGACGTCGGTCGCCCCGCGCTCCGAGTAATAGACGATGAGCAGAGGGATGGACGCAATGATGGGTATCGGTAGCTTGTGTCTCCACCGAATGTCGAAGACATCGTCTAAGAAGCCGAGCATAGTGGCCATGAGAAGAGACAACAGGGATGAGAGATACACTGCTAGCTTTCAATAGCATAGATTCGGTACATGCGACTTGAACGAGCTGAGGACGACTCACTTGATGATGCGGAAACTCGTCCACCACAAGTCCTTCGCGAGCCCTCTGCGGAGAGTCATGGTATTTGGTGATAGATTCGGTGAAAGCATAAGGAATAAATAGGATGAGAAGTATGATGTATATTGAAGCGCAAATGAGGCCCTGACTCTCCGGACTGGCAAGGCGTGGTGCTTGAGTACCTGTGGGACGAATGGTTGGCACGAACTCACATAGGCGAATCATAGGTCTTCAGCAGATCTCTCCCCTTCAGGTTCGCACGAATGAACGTCGGACCTAGTGCGGGAATAAGGTATAGGGAGCCTAGCAGCGCAAAGATAGACAGTCCAACTGAGGCATGCAGCGCGGGTAATGGCGGTGCGGGATCTATGAGGGGCCGGAGGAGGAACCAAGCTGCAGTTGGTACTGAGATGAATAACAAGACATTTGGCAGCGGCCGCGGACGAATGGCTTGTTCTTGCGCCATGTCGGAGTGAGCGGTAGGTGCTCTCAAGTTGTATACCACGCAGTTCTGGATAGTCTGAATATGACGGTTCAAGGAGAGAAGTGGACGGCGTGGCGGATTCGTGGCGGGGGCATTGGTACAGACCAGACCGCCAGCTCGTACTTACCCGACGCATTGCGGACGTGTCGAATCTCAGATTTGCTCAAACGCGTGCCACGTGCTCCTATACACCGTGGTCGGCGTCTAAACCGGGTCGCGTTTTGAGTCCGCCACTTGCCACACGCCTCTTACCACCACCACTCCTCGGCCACCCAAGCTGTTAGTCTCTATCCACTCTGTACCGCCGCAGGGTCCACCCTCATCTGTGCACAAATACAACTACATCCACCTGCGATAATGGCCACTACCCCGCGGGAATGGCTGCAGTCCAATGGCGTGGACCTCTCTTCAGGCTATTCGAGCAATCTTCAATCGGCGCTCCTCGTCGACACTCTCAAGGAGAGTAACTCAGCTCTCAAAGATGCCAACGCTGCTCTCAAAGATTTAGTCTCCTCTCTGCAAAGTGAACGGGACCTCCTCATCGACAAGAACAATAAACTAGTGGCACAACTCGCTCGTCGGTTGAATCCCAATGAGGCAGCAAACGCTGATCGTGTACGTATGCCATACCTGCATCGCCCTGCTATATTTACTCAGAAAAGCCGCTATGGTATCCTGTAGGATAACCGCTTGAGTCAGCTGGATCTCTCCAAGCTTCCCCAAGAGATAGTCCTTCGCATCTGTCTAGCGGCCATACCCGACAAGTACCAGCACGACTATTCCTTTGCCGCCGGCCCTCGGAGCCCATGGTTCAAATGGTTGAACACCCGGACGGCCCTTACTCTCGTCTGTAGAGCCTGGAACGGGCCGGCTTCTGAGGCGCTGTATACCGACATAACTTTTCGACGGGCAGGCCAGATTCCCGCCCTTGCACGTACATTCCGCGCCTCAGCTGTGGTCAACGCTCCCAACCGCGCCAGATATGTGAAGCGCATCTATATGGACTGGTGCACTGTCATGTCTCACTGCGAGAAGATCGTCCGGGATGACCTCATGTATCTCTTGCAACACTGTACTGCACTCAAGTCGTTTGCGTTACGGCCTCATCCAGTTATGTGGGCCTCACACAATTCAGACGCACCAATCATCCGGCACAGACCTCACTACATCTCTAATCCGCAATGGCTTCTCAGCAAAGAAGGGAATCCCGCCTACGGCATGGCGTTAGCGTCACAGTGCGGTGCGGGACTGCAAGAACTAGCCTTCGTGGGCCCGCTGATATCCCCGCAATCACTAAATCTCTTCTGCCTACTTCAGGGAGCTGTCCATCTGAAGATTTTGATTTTGGGCGCCGTGGATTTTCCTAACGTACAAATAGGAAGTAGCCAGCCATCAATCCCTGCGCAAGTGGCTTTACCCCGTCTCGAGGAACTCCAACTTTTCCTGCACAACGACATGCCCCGGCTCCACAACTACATTTGCGGGGCATGGCACCTTCCTGTCCTCAAGAGGCTCACACTCTCGGGCTGCAACTTCTTCCCGGCGGACATTCTCGCGAAACACGGTGAGATGCTCGAATACCTACATCTCCGCTTCGTCCCAAGCACTTCGTCTCCCTGGCGCGACCAACGTCCCGAGTTCGGGTTCAGTCGTATCCGCCGCTGCTGCCCTCACATCCAGCACCTCGTCGTCCCCTTTCTCCCGGCCTACAACCTGCTATGCACCATCGACTCCCCGACGCTGCGCTACCTCGACATGTGGGGCGGGCGCCACAAGCGACGTGTCGTCGAGCTCATGTGCGAGCTGGGTCGCGCAAGCGAGCTCCCGTCCCTGCGCTCTGTTCGCATCCTCCCCTCTGCACTAGCACATATACTCCCCCAGGACGTCCCGCTCATTTGCCACCCGACGGACGTGAGCGACGATGAAGTGCGGATGAGGACCTTCCCTGCCGCCCGCGTCCTGCAGACGTCGTGGGCGCTCTTGACAGACTGTGGCATGGACTGGGGGGTAGCGTTTTTGGACGGCGAGATGTGCGATGACGATTCCGACGGCTCGAACTACGAACCGGAGGAGCAGGGCGCGAATGAGAACGGGGACGGGGATGACGAGGATGAGGACGACGGGACGTCTTGGGTATCAGACTCGGAGGCAGGGGATCTAGCCTCAGACGATGATACTGCGCTAAGTAGTGAAGAGGAATCTGGGATGGAGTATGACAGAGAGGCGGTATTGCAGCGTTATGCGCAGAGTCAGCAGGAGGACTTCCTGTTTGATGATGATACAGACGGCGAAGAATCTGAGGAATGACACGTCGACATTAGAGCTCGCACAGATATCTAACGATAGTACCTTATCGTTGTAATGACACCTTTCAAAGCAGGCTCCTCAAACACCGAGATGCTTTCGAGCGGCAAAGTTGGTTGAAGAGGTAAGCGGTCTCGGATTCTCGAAAGTTGTTGTTGTAAGTGGTAAGTGATGGTCTCTTACACTTCCTTTACGCGGGACAATGTTCAGTGATAGGGACAAGCATGTAGAGGGCCGTATATGTGGCGATTGGCTGAAGCGCGTCTCAGATTACAAGATTGCGACCGCCAATGACATTTGGGTTCCACGTTTGAGTGTCGGGAAACGTAGGTTTCCCCACATGGCCGGCCACGAATACGGCCATAGTCTTGATTGTGGGCATGCGGGGAGACCTACGTTCCCGCAGTATCGCCAAGGCTCCCCTCTAAATATCATACAAGTCCTTGAGGTAAACTCGTCGGCGGCTACCAGCGAGGATCATGATGCACCGCATATGCAGACGGCGGTCTATTCGGGCCGCATCCGCGGATATCCCGATACGGATCTGACTGGGGACCCGCTTCCCACCGCGCCACCCACAGACTCGAAGACGACCGCCACCTCTCTTATCTGCGAGGCCTCAGGCCACTAGCCCGCTCGTTGCATAATCGAAATTCAATAGATCCTTGCCGTTGAATGTCGGCGATCATAGGCTCTTCGGAAGTGATGAAGCTCGCGCAGGATACGGCCGCTGCCGATGCCAAGGAAAGCACAACGATCCGATTTGAATGGACCCTCCGAGGACTCAAGAACCTGTTCGAGAATAGGTTAGTCTGCTAAATCAATGGATCTATGTTTAACCCGAATATCACTGACACCACTTCAGTAAAGGAGAAGCCAAGTCCAAGGTCACGAAGTCACCCAGGTTCGGGGACGGTCGGTGGCAAGTTAGTCACCGCAGATGAATTACAGTCGCAAGCCATGAGACAGACGTGCCGCTTAGATCTTGTTCTACGCAAACTCCGGAAACGTCGGCTCAGATGGCCAGACCTTCGTCAGTTTGTACCTCGCGTGTGAGGTACACTGATTCCAGGCTGCCGTGCGTTGTACCACATGATCGCTGAGACTGCATACAGCCTACTACTGCCGAAAAGGAGAACGCTGTGAACGGCAAGTGAGTAACACCTCTGCCAATTCATAGAGCATACTCATGACGCTAGTGTAGATGGTCTCGAGAGGGTCTTTTCAACTTCGGCTTCGAAATACGGAAGTGAGCCAGTTCACATGCGTGGGTACGCGCGACTGATGAAAGCAGTATCACCAAGGCGATGCAGTTCAACGTGAAAGAGGCTCACGACCACTCGTTCTACTATCCTGGCGTAAGTCTACTGAAGTAAAATTTTCTACCTAGCATTGTGACGAGTGGATGGCATAGGCACAAAATTGGGGATGGGCCCAGTTCGCTCGGAGAGACGCAGTCTATTACCAGCCAGCGACGGTCAAGCAACATGATGCGTTCGTAATCATTTGCACCATCACCTCCTCGCCGGCGACCCCAGCGTCCATGCCTGCCATTCCTCGATACCGCGTACCCCAAGATCTGCTAGACTCAATGGGTAGCCTTCTGGATGAGTGAGCGCTATCATCCCCAACAAACCCTTCATTCTAATGTACTGAGCACGCATACAGTCCATTGTACTCCGACGTTGAGTTCGTATTGCCGCAGAGAGGAAAATCCGTACCCCGGAAGATTTATGCCGCGCGTAGGCTGCTTAGCAGAGTCGCTTATTTCGATGCTAGTTCGTACCACACTCCTTGTGTATCTACTGCATCCATCCAAAGCTCACTTGTAACAGTGTTCGGCTCCGGATTCGCCGAAAGCGCTTCCAATGTCGATCTGCGCCCTGACCCACTTCCTTCGGACGACGCCAGCGTCTCAGAAACCGGCGCAATTGCTCAATACTTTGATGACACAGATCTCGAAGACGATGACAACTATTCAGTCATGCTCGACAACGACCATGACTCCCTGATCGACGATCCTTACCCCCAAGACGTAGTCTCGGGCACTCAGCTAGGCAGTGAAGACGTGCTGCCTACTCCTATCACACAAAGCGCGACCACCTCGCTTCCAAGCGAGAGCAACAAGAGGATCCTGATAAGTGGCGATGAGGCAAATGAGACTCGCGATGTGTTGGGACCAGACGCTTCCGATGAACACGAACAGTCTGCGCGAAACACGCGTCCGAAGTTGAGCCACCCGTCTACGCCGCGGAGCAGGGACGTGATGCTAGAACAGGAGGCGCAGATGCGCTCCCCGCCTCCGAGAGCTGTAGAAATTTTGCCAGTACAAAGCCAACCACGGCCTGATGTTCCCGGGCCCAAGAAGGCACGAGTGGTCGTCAAGGACGTGGCCTACACTACCTATCGTGCTGTCCTGTACTATGTCCGTCCTCAGTCTCCGCCCGTTTGACTACGCGCTGACTATACGCGCCCTCCATGCAGATTTACACCGACATGATCACTTTCGCACCGCTTTCCTCTACGTTCCTCGGCCCCTCTTCCCTCCCACTCGGAACGGGCCCGCACGCGACGTCTGTCGTCTCGACCCCCGCTGCGCTCTCTTCAGAAAACCAGCTCAGCTACGTGTTTGCACGAGCGAATCAGCCTTCAGAGGCGTCAGGCGTGACGGGCTCGCTCGCTGCAGCATCACGGTCGCGGAAGGAATGGTTGGCGGAATGGGAGCGGAACAATCCTAGCCGGCCTAGGCCCGCGAGTGCGAAGTCGGTGTACCGGCTCGCGGACAGTGAGTTAATAGCTTCCGTTGTACGGCTCCCCCCCCAGAACTAACTATGGGACGGGCGTTGTGCAGAGCTAGAATTACAGGACCTGAAGGAGCGCGCGTTCCACCACATCGTCAAGTCGCTCACCGTGGAAAACGTTGCACACGAAGCTTTCTCTGCGTTCTCGGCCGCGTTCGAGGACATCCGCAAGGTTCGTGCCTGCGCCTCTAGTCTGGCCCATTATCGCGGTAGCTGTTTGACACATCGCACAGGTCGAAGTGAAGTACATGTTCGACCACTGGCTCGAGGTCCGCAAGGGCCCGCTGCTCAATATCGGGCAGCAGCTCCGGCTCGGGAGGTTCCCAGGTTTCGAAGAAGGTGTGTTATCCCTCCTGCTTGTACTGACAGCCCCGTGTTACTAACTGTATCTCATTGATGCACATGTAGTCTGGCCGACCATCATACAGAACCTCGTCGCTGATGACAAGAAGAGCGAAAGCGAGTCATCGAGTCGTTGAGGCCCCGCAACACACCCCTTGTGCTCCAAATAGTTGTTGCTTGTTGGCTGGAGGACAGTGGGGCGAAAGCTGACCGTGTATGAAAGGTTCTGCCATCTTGCTTCTCTGGGAGTAAAATGTACTATATCCTGCTGTTGATTCGCATGCTTTCCGGCATGAATCAGTGATCTTCCCAAGAACCCGCAGCAGCTGATTTCTTTCGGTAGGCGCAAATCCTAACGCGGGTCGAAGGCTGAGGGTCTGATAATATCTTCCGCGAGACCCTGCTTCTTGTTCTTCGGCCGCCGCATTGGGGCGATCCCGCGGACATTCGTAGGGAATCGACCAGCCTCGGACTGTCGAGCGAACCAACGCCTCAAAGTCCATACGATCAGCGCACACCGCAGTCAATCTAGGTTCGGTGTGCAGCACTCGGCATTTCTTGCTGAGCACCGCCAGAGTTTTATCCGACGGCACCTTCGCAGACAAGTCTGACAACGAACACAGCATGCATGCTCGATGTACACCGTAATCGATTCCCCGGCGTGATGAGGCGCCCTATAATTACACAGAGACAATTTCCCGTGGGTTTCTAGTGATGAGTAGACCCGTTCTCTACACCGTAAATGACATCCGTGCAACCGCTTAGCGCGATGAGCACTGGGGCGTGGAGCTTTACCCGAGAAACCTAGTCAACGCTGGTGAGACTGCCTTGAGAAGTCGAGGTGGCGTCGGTCGTGTCCGTCATGTCTGTTGTAGAGTCGTCCAGGTCGCCATCGTCCTCCTCGTCATGAGTTGTGCCCGCTCCCACCACTGCTCCTGCTCCGGGCCGCATCCAGGTTCCTCTCCTCATGGGCGAGTCCATGGATGGGCGTGATGGTGACTGACCGGTCCCCATGCCCATCCACGAGGACGCGCGTGGGCTCATGCTGCGCCCGAGGTCCAGGCCTTCACACGGGATTGGAGTTCGGGCACAAGTCCGAGGGAAGGGCAAGCGTGTAACGAAGAGGCAGCGTTGAGTGTGCGGCTCATACGTTCAGGAGTGGCGCGACGAAGTACCGTTCATGTATGCCACTCCTCCGAACGGCCGAGAAGGGGTCGGGGTTGACGAGCGAGGGCTTGAGAGCACATTGGGATTCGAGAGCGAACCCGAGGGGGACCGCGGCTGAGCCGAACGGGGAACCGGGGCGACATGAGTTTGCGGTTGGACTTGGACGACAGTGACTGGCGTGGGGGCAGGTACAGTCTGTCGGTCATGGTTATGACCATGGTCTTCGGAAGAGTGATGTTGGGAGCGATGATGGTCGGCGTGGGCGTGACTATGGTCGTGACCACGGTCGTGGTGGTCATGAGCATGACTGTCACGATAGTACTCAGGATGATGTGAATGCGGCGTCTCGACCTCGACCTCAGACGCACTGCCGCTGCTCTCCGTGTCGTATTCCTGCGCCTGTCCATGTCCATGTCCGTGTGCATGCTGCACACCGGCCCGCCCGTGATACGCAGAAGAAGTTTGATAGGCAGGGTCATGGTCATGCACATAGTTCTGGCCATATGACTGTACCCGCTCCCACTCCTCCTGTTCCCACTGCAAGCGCTCCTCGTGCTCCTCGGGCGTTTCCGCCGTTTCAGGGAGGTCGGCTGGCACGAAAAGCTGCTGCTCCTCGTAATCCTCTTCGGTGTTTTGTGCCAATTCTGGAGGTATCGCACCGGGTTCGCGGTCGGCCGGGAGTGGGGGTATACGATGCAACAACCCGAAGCTGCGTAACGGTGGGAGAGCATATGTCAGTAACGGTGTTGACCGGAGGAATAGGGGATAAACCTACCCGAAGACGCAGCCCAACAAACCCTCGCCGCCCCAGTGGCGATTCGGAATCAAGACAACTTCGCGAATAGTGCTTAAGAGTGATAGGAAACGGTGTTAGACAGGCTCCAAGATGCTTCACGAACGGTGAACCAGGCACAGCACTCACTCAAAGTCGTAAGAATACACATACACCCGCAGCGGTTTCTCGATATGCTAAGGTATTTCATAAGGACGTGTGAACAACACCATCTCGACCATACGCAAACGACGGAAATGAAGTGGATCTGATAGCTAGAGGCAAAAAAGGGGTGGTGAAATATGAGGGGTGGAATGACGCACCGCCTCGACAACATCATAGAAGTCTCCTTCCGCGCTGAGCACGCCGCCGGACCAGCCGATAATCCAGTCGCCATATGGGACGAGACCCGCACTTTCGGCGGGGCTACCCTCGAGAACGTCCAGAACGTGCCACACGTTGTCCAACGCAAACTCCGGCTCGCATATACGCATGCTCAGGCCCAGTAGGGACGGCTTCCGTTCTGCCGCTTCCGGCTCTTTCGGGTCTGGTAGGTCCGAACGAGGTGCGGACCAGTCGCGCGAGGGCGTTATTGATACGGCTGCCATTGCACGAAGAAGAGAGTGTTATTGGGAGGTTTCTTCAGGCCGGAAAGCAGGCGGTTTACGTACTGCGGCTGTCCAGGGACTTGCTGTTCCATACGAGGAGGTTGAGGGTGCGGCCTTCATGACTCTCGACGATGCGCTCTAGCTCCGAGGCGTCAATGGTATTATATGAGTCGAGAGCATCACCCTTGTAGCCAATCACAAAATCGAAGAAGGGCTCGATGGTTGTTTGTGAAGCTGGCGACGAAGGGGTGACACGGAGGACGTGGAGAGCTCGCGGCGGAACTTGCGATGCTGTGGACTGTCCCGCGCCCATCCTGCGCTCAAGACAGTATGCCTGCTAAGTAACCACAAACCAACAGATCCAGAAGAGTTATTTCCTAGCCCAGGCAGAGTAGAAAATCAGAGCAAAGCGTGCAACCTCAAGGGAGCGTCCGCGAGGTATCTGGCAGTGATAGACACTCCGACACGTCTAGGAGCGCTCAATGTGTCAAAGAGACGCTCGTGTCGCAAGAAGCCGATATTCGGGATTTTGCTAAAATGGAAGGTGTTCAAGAACGTTGGCGCTATCATTCACACTCCTCCCTTGCACCCATATCTGCCCCCTTTTACAACCCCCTCTATCTCCACCAGGATATTTGTGTCTAAATAGTGGCACATAACTCAAAGTTGCCTGAAATATCTTGTCCCCAAGAATATATCAATCCACGTCTGTTGTCCTGCCCTTCCAAGCGATAGTTGTTCCGCAAGGTATATCCGACAATATCTCCATAGTTCGCACCAAATGCACGAGAATCCCACGTAGTGTATTGTGGGTATGATAGACTTCAGGCAATTGGTTCATAGACCCAGCTTATCGAGATGCCATCGCCGACCTCACCTATCGGGACTTTGAGCTGCGATCTCGACCCCCCGCGAAGGATCGACCTTCGCCCCAGCCACCGCCAGAATGGTAACCACCTAGTCAAGTGTTCCCAGCGGCAGCATCAGAAAGCCTGCTGCTGAACTATCTCCTAGCACCGATTAATCTTAGCTCACGTTTCCTATTCATCGTGTACGAGCGCTGGAGAAGCTACCATTCAGTCGGGAACCCACGCATAGTCAAGTTTGGCCACCACAAGCCGTTATCCGCAGCAAATGTATTGCATTGACAGGAGCCGTTCGGGGCAGGAACAGAGCTTGAATCTGTGCTAAAGAAAGTACAGCATGGTTAAGGGGCGCGAATGTAGGTCGGGGGGCACTGGCGAGCGTGAACAGGACGATGGATGCAGCCCGTCAAGTTCTTCCGCGCTGAGGCCACGGTGTATCCGAGCATCATCCGCGAGAGACGGATTGCCGTCCGCCCGGGAAGTCAGCAGGCAGGTAGACTGGGTCAGGAGAACATTCCGTCTCCAGAGCCGCGAGCCAATGGAGTAGTCCTACGAATTGGCCCACGACAAAGAGATCAAGCCATTTCTGTGCCATGAAGGGCCCTTGTCTGTGCAGGAAGGTGTGACTAGAGACGCGGATGTAGGGTGGTAACTTAGACCGTCTTCCATACCAGGTGAGAGGAACACGGCATTGTTTCCGCACAGGGCAACTCGCAAGGACTTCCTATCGTTCAATTGATGTCCTTGTCCCGGGCGTCGATGACAAGACCGCTCATCCTCGTATTTCCCATGTCGCACATGAATGTTCGCAGGGACTCGGCGAGCGGACCACCGAAGACGGTAGCGTAATGAGTCGCGACTGAATGGGAGAAGCACTGGTCAGTAAACTAACTTGAGGCGGAAGCTTTAGAAGACTGACGAGTTCCGTGAGGGAATCATAGGAAGCTGATGACCTCATGACTATCCGAGGATTCACGGCACTTGGTAGCGCGATAAACGGATAGCCGAGCGTCCGCAAGGGGGAGGTTAGTCGCTAGCAGGTAGTAATGTAGAGCGTCCATGTTATTAGCCGGTTATGTAGGCCTCGACCCCTGATGGCCGATGTAAGATAACGCCGTGCGACGTGAGCCAGGGGAGGTGGAGATCATCTTTGACAATTACTAGGGTATTTCTTGGCAAAGTATACGGCCGAAGACAGTCCTCTTATTCATTACCACCTTCTAGATTCGAAAGAACATACGTGCGTGAGTAGTTGAGGCAATCTAAAGTAGAGGGCGTCTTGGATATCGACAGTGGACGCCATCAACGCGATCTGCAACCTCGGCGGGGTCAACTGACGGGTCGGGGATGGCTCGGAGGGTGGCGTGAGTGTGACAAGGCGGCTGTGACATATCTGTCACGGAGGCTTTGCTGACGTTGGCGCTTGGGAAGACGGCGTGCAGGTCGTGTCTCTTGCTCCCGTTTGAAAACTTACAGGCCCGCTGGCTCACCGCCTCGCCACGTCGTGCTCCTGATACTCCCTCTAGAGGCTGACAAGTTGCGGAGTAGACTAGCGGCATGAGGTGCGTGGCATTCATCACAGGGCGCGCGGAATGCTCATTAGCTGGTCCTCGGTCCCGGTCCCGCTGCAATTAGTTGACTATATGTTCCTTTGTCGCCACCAACTCCTGCGAGCACCTGCACAGCGCCACTTCGCAAGCCTCCTCACGAAACGCCATGCTCCCGCAGTTGCTGCTATCCCCGAACCGACCTCCCCTCGCCATGCCCACTGCGCCAGCTCAAGACCAGTCATCGACGGCGCACCTCCAGGTCGTACGAATACTGCCGATACCAACGCTCCATCACATAGCTCGAGAACGGCCGGTCACCTTCCCGAGATACAGGACCATGAAGACAGCTCATCTCGCAACTTGCACACGAGACGCTCGTCGCGGTTACCTCGTATGTCCGACGAGGAGTTCAGCCACAGACCCATATGCAACTATATACGTCTTCGGAAGTTTGGCATCCCAGGGTTCCAGCAGCTGACCGCGAAACGCTTTGGTCTCGTAGTAAACGACGCGCTGAGGGGCCGTTGGGCCGGTCCAGATATATTCTCCGACCTCGTGGAGGATGCCATCCACGTCTGCGAACGCCAGAACGTCCTGAAGGGTCGTTTCGTCATCACCCTCGTGCTGAGGAAGCTGGCGATCGCGCAGGCCATAACGAAGACGCAAATTCTCCAGCTCTTACGGACATTAGAGGCGCACGACGGTCTACGGTTTGTTCCTACTGAATCTCGCATCTTCATTGCTCGTGCCGTGGCAGCATATCCACCAGACCAAACCATTGACGGAGAGCTCTTCGGCTTGCTAGCGCCGTGGCTCCTCCGCGCGTTACCTGAGAAACCTGCGCCCTCCACAGACAAGCCTGGCCTCTGGGAGGAATCGAGTACAGGAACTCGCGTACCGCGCGTCCTCTGGGCAATTTACCGTGGCATCCTGTCCCTTGCACAGAGTAGGGAGCAGACTGGAGCGTCTAACCTTCTGGCGAAGCTTGTCGCAGGCTCCCATGTCGGCAACGACGCCATCAACGCGACAAATTTGTCCGAAAAGGACTACATCTATATCGTCCTCTCTGTTCTGGTCCGCACATGTCTCTCGCACGGGTGGGTATCACGTGCAGCTGAGCTTCTCATGCCTGAGGTTTCTGCTCGCGAGTCGCTGTCGCCCGCCCTCGCTCAGCTTCTTCAGGACTGGGTCGCTGCCGCCCTAGGCGACCCTCGTGAACAGGACCTCAAGCCAGCTGCTCATGCGCTCATCCTTCTATTCCAACGTGCAGAGAAATTCCAGGCTTCGACCGCCGTTGTCCAGGAATTCTACGACGCGGCATTTCGCGCGAAGATGCCTGAGGTCGTGGAATCCGTGTATCGCGCGGCGCGCAAGATAGAGACGTACCCCTACCCCCCTCCGCGCGGTCAGGCCCTCCTTTACTTCATGCGTTACCTCCTGCAGAACAGTCGTAACGTTCACTTGGCACGCCTACTCGCCCAGCAAATCGTGGAAGAAGACATTCCCCTGCCTCCCACGGTTCGCGGTGACTTCATCAGCAACATTGCTGTCTTTGGTTTTACGTCGTACGCACGCGCTCTCTGGGAACGTTATTCGACCGGACCCGACATGCTATACGTGGTTGGACGTCGAGCCGTGATGCTTCGTCTCGTCAGCGCTTTCCTCAAGGCTGAGGCAATCGTGATGCGGACTGTTCGCCAGCGGTGGCCCAGTGAGCCCACGGTGGCTCCCCGGATAAACCAGCTGGATGAGGCTGCCCGACGTGTGGATGATCAGGACGAAGACGTACAGGCATCTTCCAGCGAGACACGGCCGGACGACCGAGTCGAAGAAGATCACCCCGCATCTGATGCTCCACATCCAGCTGCATCCCCACCCCCGCACGGGATCGCGGACGAGGATGCTGAGCTGGTCTCCGGGCTGTCATCCGACGCGGATGACCTCGCCGCCCCTACGGGGGAGGACGGAAGTGGCCGCCGACCACTCGGGTTCGCCGCACTGACGCGCTCGGAGCTGCTCGAGCGTGCGGGGGACCTCCGACGATTCGCCGAACGCGTCTTCGACGCGTATGTCGCGTGTAAGCCGCCGCTGGAGGCTTTGGACCATTATGGGCTCAACGCGCTTGCGCGCGGGGCGTTCATGCTCGGGCGTGACCAGATGGCGTTCGAGGTCTTCTCCGCGATGAAGAAGCGGGGCATCAAGCTGGACATGTACGACGTCAACGTCGCGCTCTCAGTCGTCGCGAAGGCAGACCCTGCCGCGGGGTTCGCTCGCATCCGGAGGATGCTTGCCTCTGGCTTCAAGCCGGACGCGGCCACGTACGGGACGGTCATCCATTGGGCGGTCTACCACGGGGACGCACCATTGGTCGGAGAGGTCTTGCGCTTCGCGCGTGCGAACGGGCTCAAGAACTTTTCGTTCAAGACGATGGGCTCTCTCCTGCACGCGACGGTCTCATCGCAGTTCGACTCGCTTACCACGCCTGGCGCGCAGCTGGACAACGCGCGGGGCATCGTCGACAACATGTTCGACGTGGGGATCCTCCCTACTGTCAACATGGGTCGCGACTGTGTCATCGCCGCGCTCCGCGCGGAGGACCCCGTCATGGCGTTCAGCTTTTGGAAGCAGCTCCTCCGAGGCAAGGTGCAGTATACGGACCCCGCTCAAGCAGCCCTCCGGAGGCGTATCGTCTACCAGATCCGAGAGCACTACTCGTCAGGGTGGCTGGACGAGAAACGGGCGCGGGCGATGCTCTCGGAGCTGGGGTATCCTTCCGAACTCCCGTTGCACGTCAAGCAGCGTCTCGGGGCAGGAGCCCCGGAGATTGACGACGCAGGGCCCCTCAGCGCTCAGTAGCGCAGAACTCGCGAGTGTGTAGTCTAAAGGCCCCGAAGCCGGGTGATCTCAGTCGAACGGTTCCGATGGAAGGCACGGACGAGAAGCGCTGTTGGATGCGTTGGGGTCTCCCTGCTGAGGTCGAGGGCGAAGAGGCGAAGGCGCCGCGATCATGCGGGGACTGCATCCGGTGCGTCCGCGCATCGCTCGTGTCCCAACGCAGATGCGCTTCTGGAGCTTGCAATTGGCCTGTGGCAGGCGCCCGGCGCAGTGTCCGGCTGATGATGGGTGGTCGCTATGTATACTGGAGGTCGTTCACGTGGGAAGGCAGGCTGGTAGGCCTTATGACTTCAAACGGGCGATGCTGGTCTCGCGGGCGGACACTGTCGCTGACGGACGGGTATGACGACGGATGTAGGGCTTGACGGATGTGCGCCGTGTGGTCGGCTGGGGAGGGATGATGGGGGCGGTACTTAGAGTAGCGTATTGAACAGCATGGCTGTCGTAATTGCAGGGCGAATAATCCCATGGAGAGACATGCATCACGCACTGTTTGTTGGACGGGGAAGGGGAGCGGGGACGGAAGGGGGCTTCGATGGGCATGCGACGATAACTCTGATTGAGATAGCGATCGCCTGGAAAGGGTGCGGGGGGCCGGGGGAGCGGGGAGGTGGGTTTGGCCGGAGATGAGCCGGCGGAGGGTCTGGTGGACGCGTGACAGAGGGTGTAAAGTATGTGCTGAGGGATTTGTCGGGCGAGAAGGGCAGATTTCGAAGGACTGATTGGGAAAGATGCCGGCTTTCGATGGCAGATGGACGGGGCGAGGGCAGGGCCATGCGCCGTGTCCCTTGGCCGTGTCCATTGACGGATTTGTGCTGGGCTGCTGAGAAGCAAGCGCAGGCGAGGGTCCGCTGCAAACAACACGCGAACAAACAAAACGAGCTCGCTCAAAATCAAAGGCCCGAGTGTCCTTGCCTCGCCTCTCCAGCTGGAGACTTGTAAATACCCCGCCCCCGGCACCGCTCCTGCCACCCCTGCCGCCCCCGCCCCCGCCCCCGCGTCTCCCAGCGCTTGCCCCCTCCGCCCCCACGCTCACGCCCAGCCCCTTCCCCTTCCCGCTCCCACTTCCCTCGACCATGCCCTCCGCGCGTACAAAAAAAGAACCAAACTCGCCCACACCCCCTTCTGACGACCCCAGTCCCAAGGACGCGTCCGAAAACAGCAAGATCAAGAGAAAGTCAGTCACACTTTCCCCGACGTTTCCCCGCTCCCCTTCAGCCCGCCCCCTGTCCCTCCCCCGCATTCCACCCTCTGCCTCTGTTCTACCCCGCACTCCTCTCCACCCTCTCCCTTCTTCTCCGCGCCCGGCTACCTGAGCCATGTTGTGTCATTTCCTCTCCCTTCCGAGCTCCGCACGCTGACCAACATCCTCTCTTCAGGCGGCAATCCCAGAGTCCGTCCTTCCCGCTCATACCACACCACGTCTTCGCCCGTTGACCTTTTCTCTAGGCTGCGATGCCTGTCGTGCGCGCAAGGTAAGGTGTGCGCGCGACAACCCAGACGATCCCAAGGGATCCTGCAAGCATTGCATCACCCTCGGTATTCCCTGCACCTATGACTACCAGCCCAAGAAGAGAGGGCCTCCCAACCTGTGAGTCGTCGCGTTCGAGAGTTATCGCCAGGCCAAGTCGCCGACGAGTCCGACGCGTTCCGTAGTTACCTTCGCAGACTCCAAGAGGCGGCAGCGGCAGCGGCCGCCGCGCAGCAAGAAAATCACAGTGGGTCCGAGCACCCTCAGTCCCCATCCTCGACGTCCCAGAGCGCGACGAGCCCTACTCAGGCTGCGCTTTCACCCTCCGCCCCGGTTCCCGCATTCCTGGAGCCTCCTCTCAACGGGCTTAACGGTGTGCCGTCCGTGTCAGCGCTCCCGCCTTCGCGCTACCCCATCGCGGCGGATGGCTTCCACTCCCAGTTCCCACCGCTGTCGATGTCCGTTCCGTCCTCATTCGGCAATTCGCGTCTGCCTGAGCACGGTATGTCCAATGGTCTGTCCGCGCGCTCGCCGCAGCGGCAGGACGATTCGCAGCCGTTTGGGTCGCCCTCCGACCAATTCAGCACGTACCCGCTCCACAACTGGTCGTACAAGCAGCACCAAGCGCTGTCCGTGCTTCCACCCTCAGCAATTCCCCCGCTCTCGTACTATTACCGCCCGCACCGGCTGGAAGACGTTGCGCCGCGCGATACTATGCTCCTCATCATTGCACTCTTCTTCGACTTTGTATACCCACTAACGCCGTGCGTGCACAAGCCGTCGTTTATGGCGGACGTGCACGCGCGGCGAGAGGAGCGAGACCCGCTCTTCTTCGCGCTCGTCATGTCCACGGTAGCGTCCACTCTCGTGCAGGTCCCGAGGTCCTACCTCCCTATGGAGCGGCATGCGGTCCGGAAGCTCGCGCAGACTTGCCATGAGGCCAGTCGGCACATCTCGGTCGCGTCCTACGACCCTCCAACCTCAATGCACGTCGTCATCCGGTACTTGTGAGTGTTTCTTCTCGGGGAGGTGTTTCACTTGCACGCGTTCTCTTGTGCTCACGGTCGTGTATACATTCAGTGACTGCGTGTATCATTTCTGCGAAGGCCACGACGCAACGCAGCACGCGGCCTTTGGCGAAGCAGCACACATCGCTGTGACCCTTCGAATGCACGAGGAATCGTCGTACGAAGGGCTCGATCTTATCGAGTGCGAAGTTCGTCGAAGGACGTTTTGGTTGCTATTTGGGGGTAAGCATTTATGAATCTACGGGCGGTGTTTAATGGCCGGCCGGGACAGCCGATCCTGATCGATGCTGACTCTGTGTGCGTCTTTGATTTGTGCAGCGGATAAATCCATGTCCATCCTCTTGGGCCGCCCGATCTGCCTCCGAGACGAGGACACCACGTGTAATTTTCCACGAGAGCTCGACGACGAATAGTAAGTGGTCACGACCCTCCGACGCGCGTCCGAGGATTAACCATCCCGTACCCGCGTGCCCATCGTGCGTTGTTGCCTCTGCCTCTCTGTGCGTCTCTCGGATCGGTCTCCTGTCTATTGCTCGTTCCTCCTCGCACCGCCCCAGCATCACGCCGAGTGCATACCTCCCGCAACCACACGGGAAGACGGCTATTGTGTCCGGGCTCAACTACATCTCACGCATCTTCGCCCTTCTGGGCGAGATCCTCGTTCGGATTCGGGTCGACAAGCGTTCTCCGCCCCAAGGGCAGTTCCTCACGGCACGCCTGGAGGAAGTGCAGGCACTCCACTCCCGCATTGTCTCTGCGCTCGCACACACGCCAGAGCCGCTTCGTCTCAAGCACGCGCACTCACAGTCGCACCTCCCGGCGGAGTACGGAGGCGCGGGCTTCCGCCAGGCTGCGTTCACGGAGGTCAAGGACTTCTTCGACAACCCGAATGCGTCGCGGGCGAACGCCCTGAACCCTTTCCTGGTCATGCAGGCCAACCTGTACGTGACGCAGGTGCGTCCGATCGTCTCCTCGGCTCCCTCTCGTCTCCGCGGCTCCGACGCTAAGATGATCATTTCATTAGCAATTGGTCCGCTTCGTGATCGAACAGTACCGGGACGAGTTGATCACCTCACTTCAAGGGAGCGTTGATGAACACAGAGTGGCAGAGGATCGCGAAGCGGTGGCGAGTGATCTACTGAACATCCTCCACAGGTGCGTTGGCGCGGGCGCCATCGATCCACTCTATAGAACCATGATCATTTACTTACGTTCTCATCACGTTCGTCCCCGTGTAGCATCCCGATACAATCCATCGCCACGAACGGGCCCTCTCTGGTGAGTGGAGACGATCCCCGCGCTTCTGGTTCTGTGGAGGCCGGTTTGTGCTGACCAGCGTTTTCTTGATGGTTGAATTCAATAGGTGCACAAGGTCCGATTCGTTGCCTCCACTTTGCTGGACGCGGTGCGGAAGGCGGAGACTGCGCCCGCTTCTGCGGCACGCGCACATGGATACCTTTGTGAGCTTCCTCTCCTTCTGTTCATCTCACTTTTATCTCCCCGCTCTCCGTTTCCCGCTTGCTCCTCTCTTCTCTCTTCTCTTCACACGTCTTCTCCTTCTCTCCCCCGACTGCTGGCTCTGCCCTGAGTACTGCCCCCGACGCGGCTTGGCTAACATGCGATTCTTGCCCTTCTGCGCAGGGGACTTCCTGTCTATCTTGTCGGAGATCGAACGCAACTATCTGTAAGTTCCTTCTAGTGCGACCCCTGGGCTCGAGTGCTCGAGAAGCTGATTTTCGCCATCGCCAGATTGGACGACGACCGGGACGGAACGTCAAACGATCCCGGCATGCCGCTGATGGGCAACTGAGGCTCCAGTGCCGGCCCATGTGCCGTTCTGCCATTTCCCCTTCGCCCTTCTTGGCCGTTTAAGCCTGCGCAGACGATGATCGTCGCATTCCTTGTGGTTCCTTCCTTCTTGTTTGGTATAGGTATAGGATGTATCGGACGACCCCCGGGCGTCGTAGGACGCTCGGAACGACGTTGTGGCACCAGGGAGCGGGACGGCCACGCTTACTCTGCGGAGGTCGCTCCCGGACAGTCTGAATTGGAGCTCTGCTATGCTATCTTACCATCGGTGTATTCTCTAGTGCTGTTGTACTCGCTCGAAGGTCATCGTGCGTTGTTGTATCATATCTATTCATACTCGCCAATCATGCATTGGTCTTGGCTCCATTCCATCCCTTGTCTTGCGTGCGAGCCGCACAATGAATGAGCCCGAGCCGTGGGTTCCCGTGCCGCTCGGATACACCATGCGCTTTTACTGATGCATCACACGGCTCCTGTCCGTTGGCGTCGTACCTCCCCGGTGGTCCCTCTCAGACACCCTTGGGACGGCCTAGCCCGATCGTCGTGGACCGTGCGAGGCGCGCGGCTCGGAACGTTGGTACCGCCTTGAAGCACGGTTTGCAAGAACGCCACCTTTGGCCGTCTTCGCGATCCGCGCGGCACATGGTTAGGGCCTGCGGGCGGCAACGGCCGAGATTAGGCAGGCACGTCCCAAAATGGGCATCCATCCAACTTCTTCCAAGGTCACGTTCTTCGCCCCGCGACCACGCCTTCTGGCATTGGCACCCTCTCAGATACCTCGTTCGTCTTGCTGTCCTTGTTCTCTAGGCGATCCCTGACGACAGCGCAGTAGTACCCCGTGCTCACCGAGCCATCAAGCACGCTCTTCCACGTTCATATCCCAGGCTAGTCGTTACACTACAATTGCATAAATCTTCGTCGCTAAGTCCGGTTGCAGTACTATGACTACGCTCGATCCAGGAACAAAGAGTGTCCCACTCTCAATTACTGAAGGTGGGTCTTGTTTTGTTCTGTTACTAATGCAGGTGTATCCTTGAATCTAGCCGAGGACGAATGGCGTGCAGAGGAGGGCCCTGTCTGACTACAAGGCCCGTCTGCTCCCCTCAGGCACCTATTGTCCCGCAACCATGATTGGTATCAGTCCGTTTTGCCCGACGACGGCCGCGTGATTCTGCATCCTGACATCGTGGATCCTTTGCGTGTACGAGCAAGTGTGCGGATTGACCGAGCACTGACTTCATTTGTCTCGTTTCGTTCTGTGCAGATGAAGCGGCTGTATACGATCGACAGATCCGGCTCTGGGGCCTGGAGGCCCAGCAAAGGTACGCATCCTTGGTCGCTCATGTGTTTCCCGTTCGTTTTCCTGTAGATGTCAGGCGGCGCGGCTCTTCGCAGGCTTCGGGAAACAGGCGACATGCAATTATTTCCGCTGGGAATGGCGCGCAGGCTGCTGCCTATGCAGACATGATCCTATTGGAGCGGTGTGCTTGTCATCGACACGTACGACAGGCCGAGCTCACTCATCAGCAGATCCCGCATGGGGTCTGTATGGCGCTTCGCGCGCTTTCTGGGCGTCGACGGGTTCTGTCTTCGCGATCTATGGGCATCCTTGTGCTATGCTTAGAGCACGTTCGCGCTCCTTAGCAGCTTCGCTGCGCTCATGCCAGGATCATGGGACTGACCTCCGCTCTCAACCCTATAGGATGCGCAATGCTACCATTTTGGTCGTCCAATTGAAGGGCGTGGCCACAGAAGCCATCAAAAATATAGTGCTCGCAGGCATTGGCAAGCTCATCGTAGTCGATTCTGACGACGTGGCCGAGGAAGACCTAGGCGCCGGCTTCTTCTACCGAGACGAAGACATTGGCAAAAAGGTAAGATGGCAGTGCCCCGGCCCGACTTGTAGACGCATGCACATAGACGTGAGGACATGAGTGCTATCCGACGCATGGGTACTCTGCCTTTCCTTGTGCTCAAGACGGAGCCCGCCTCGGACTCTCAGCGGCGTGAACTTGAGCGGCATCGTGACTTGCCTCCTACTCAGAGCATTACAGCGCCGTGGCCCATTATCTCCTAATCGTAGCAGGCGTGCCGGCTGCTATGTGGGAAGACTACCTCATAGGGGAACCACGGACTCAAAGCTTGTCTTGAATGGTGTGTTCCTGGCGCTTTGAAAAATGCTCTGCTCCCACGTTCGCCATATTTGTGGTCCGGACATTGCATAGCGTGTGGACTTGTAGGGCCCCGGTCCGCGATGCTACTAATATTCTCCTTGGCTCGAACAAATATAGCGGCAGGCGCTGTACCCCGAGTCGCAAAACCTACCGAGTAAGCTACTCGTAATGCTGCGGTCTCCAGTCCAGTCCTACCTTACCCCTCGAATGATGTGTCTGATATCGTACTGATTATTCTCGTCGCTCACAGAGAGTAGACGCCGCTAAAGCAAGAATTGAAAGTTTGAACCCCCTTGTTACAGTGGAAACATCATCAGACTCTTCTCTTCTCAAGAACGATGCCGTGGATACTCTCATCGCAAGCGTCGACATGGTCTGCGTCACCGATGTCGATCGGACCACCCTTGTACGTACACCTCTCATGATTTTCCCGTATCCAGGCCTCATTACCACTGCTATCCTTCTCGCACGTCTCAGGTACGCCTTAACGACGCATGCCGGAAAATGCACAAGCCTTTCTACTCTGGAGGAACATACGGCTTACTAGGCTACATCTTCTGTGATTTGCTGCAGCATGACTACATCGCGCCGTATGTATCCTCTGTGGTCAACACGCGGGCTGCCTCTCACACTCTCCCGCAGCGACCGTTCATCACAGAAGGATGTGGCGAAGAATGTGAAGAATACTGCCGTTTACGTATCTCTACGGACCGCACTCCAGCACCGTTGGACAGGGATGACGCGACGTCAGACAAAAGAGCTCAATCCCGCGATACCACTCGCTGTGCTAGGTGTGTGCCAAACTAGTCTCTGATGTCATCGTCATAAATGTCTCACGTATGCTGTCGGTCTGTGGCGGACTGTGGGTGAACAGCCATCTGGGAGTTTCAAGCTACCCACGCTGGCGCATTGCCCGACGACCCGGCGGCTGCATCGGAGCTGGAGGCGATAGCAAATAAGCTTATCGCCGAGGCAGATGTCCACAAACAAGTCTTGTCCAGCATTCCGAAGGAGCTTGTCGAGTGAGTACGCTACGCCGTCACCGCTGCACTCAATCTCATCATTGCTGCCGTTTCCTAACTCTCCCTCACCTGTTCGCCGGTCACCGGGGCGGTGTCATCTGTTGTTCATGGTTCTTCGACACGCGCAGGACCCTCTCCACGACAGCTGCGCATGAGATATCCCCAGTATGCGCTGTAGTCGGCGGCCTCCTCGCACAGGACATTCTCAAGGCCCTGGCTGCGCGAGAGCCGCCCATCGCGAACTTCTTCACCTTTGATGGGAACCTGGGCGGCGGCACTGTCGTCAGAATGTCGATGCCATGATACCCATATCCGATCCGAGGCAGTTGAGCTTCACTTCGGCGATGGAAAGGCTTCGAGTAGAAGGTGAGGTGAAGTGGAGGTGACGGGTGGCTTGCAACGCAATGCTCAAGTGTATATCTTGACGGTTTGTATCTATTCACCAGTGCTTCCTGTCTGTAGCGTGTATTACAACGGCGTATATCCGACTATCCTCCCGCTCGTTCACAGTGCTGTGCTCGTGGGCCCACGCTACGAGCCCGACTCACGAAACTTCCCGAGCTATCAACACCATGGATCCGGCGCCATAATGATTCTAGGCCCGATTTTACGTCCCCTCTCTCCACCTCACCTCGACTAGAAGTCATGTGGAGGGTGGTATGAGACCGTCCTTTTCCCCACACAATCAAGCCTCCTCTCCCTTCACCAAGCACACCCAACGGAATACGCTATATCGAATATAGAGCCCACGGAAACCACTTACCGTCCAAAGGCGGTTAGTGTGTGAGGGTGAAACAAGCTTTCAATTGCAAACTCTATTGAGGCGGCAGCACAGGACGACGTCCATCATTCATTCATTCATTGCAAGTCCCGAGGCTGTCCCGACTTACCCCAACGAGCATTCACCCACGATAAACGAGTACACATTGCCGATCGGCCACGATCATCGAGGTCCCGTGGTCTCTACCTCTCTCACTCAAAATTATCAGATAAAGGAATCAATGACATCGTGAGCGGAGCATGAGCACGGTCACGCTCGTGTAGCAACAGCGTGGTGCTACCGGGAAGTACACGGGGTAAGTTTCGGCGAAATGTCTTCTGGATTCCACGAGCGCAGACCCATGTTCTGTCTGCCGAATGTCATGATGACCGCGAAAAGTTTGCGATGAAGGCCAAGATGCTGGACGCGCGTGGTCCAGAATGCTGACATTGTCATGTGTCGCACTAGGTATTACGATCTCGGGTCGTCCACCGTGTAGCTCATCTCCAGAGGGTCGCTTCTATTCATCAGTCGTAGAGTGATACAGGGACACGAACACACAACCATGGAAGTCTTTGTATTCACTCGCCGGAGATCTAGTTCCCAATTCTCCACTTGCACCGCAGCCCTAATCGTAAACCACTCCGCCGCCTCTCCGCAAATCATGTTGTCGCGATGTCAATCAATGGTTAGCAGGAAACCGTCGGGTTCCCGTATCGTCCTCCACCTCTACTCGTTTCCTACCCGGCTGGCTCGGCTCGGCTCAACGCTCCTCCTCTTCTCGGACCTTCGTCCGGTATCGGACGTCCCCCATCCTCAGCTTGAGCCCCATATATCCCCGGCCTGGCCCAGTTCCTGAAGGAGCCTATAGAAGTCGGCCACAAGGTACAGGCTCCCCGCAAGAACGACGAGCGAGTCTTCTCCATGGCGCCTTCGGCTCGCAGCCCACCGAAGGGCTTCTTCAACATGATCGGTCCTGGGAGGTTCCACAGGGATAGGGGCTTCCTGATAATCTAGCCCACCGAAGTCGCTCGAAGACTCTAGTATCTCCACGCTTGAAGGGGGGACAAGCGAATCAACGGCTGCACGAATGTCCGAGGGTGGCACAAACTTGATCCAAGGCATGCCCAGCGGCGGGGTGAACGGAAGAAGCGCGACCCCTAGGCGCAGTTCACGTTTGTGTGGGAGGCCTTCGCGAATTGCGAGTAACGGCTTGAGCGTCTGCTCGGGCGTTTTTGGTGGGGAATGCGAGAGCGCGAGGATGTAAGTGAGGGCGACGGGCCCGCCCCCAGACTTCCCTAGTGTCGATGTGATGTACGCCGCAAGCGCCGCGGCCGACGCAGGATTGTGCGCTCCGTCAGCTAGAACTAGGATCTGCGAGCTCTCCGGGTCTGTATGTTCATGTGTGGCTATGGCCGAGGTACCCAAAGAAGCGGGTGAGAGCAAAATTGCGTGATAAGAAAGACGGCCAGGCCAGCGAGTAGCGCGGATGCCACGCGATATAGCGTCCGGCGTAAGGCGTTGGTCGAAGTTCAGGCCAGGGCGTTCGCAAGCGGGGTGCGTCTGCAGCGCTGAAATTATTCCCATTGCTGTACCTAAATTTCCCAATTGATGCTCGCCGTGCAAGGGGAGTAGAGCTCGGATAGGGTCGGCATGACACGGTCGGTGGATATGGACAGGTTGAGATTGCGGGACTCGGATCCCAGTTTGAGTAGGTACTGGGGCACCATCGAGGTCAGGATCCCAATCGACAGCGACGACCGCGCACGGGACGGCTATCTCCCCTCCAGAGGAGTGAATAATAGAACGTGCGACAGCCTCGACTTGCTGATGAGCTTGAGGCCCGACAACAAAGGGCTTCCCGCGCCTCGCGATCGCGGCCTTTTCGCGTGTGATGGCTTCGACAGTGTCACCGAGGAATGCTTGATGATCGAGGTCTACGGAGGTGAGTGCAGATATCAGGATGCTCTCATCCGGGAGGACGTTCGTCGCGTCCAAGCGACCTCCCATGCCGACCTCGAGAACGACGACATCAACCTTCAGGCGCTCGAAGATCAGCAACGCATAGCAGGTGTACATCTCGAAGCTGGTCGCGCCACAACAGTGCTCTTCGTTTCTACGCTGGACCTCTTCGCGAGCTTCCATGAAGATATGCCTGTCAACAGGCTCGTTTCGGACGAAAATGCCGTCGAGCGGGGACAGTAGATGAGGCGAATTGAATCGTCCTACGACGAGCGGTGGAGATGCAGCAGAGAGGATAGAGGCAACCAAGGCGCATACGCTCCCCTTCCCATTTGTGCCGGCTACGTGAATAGTAGGTCGTGTGTATGGTATGGGTAAATGGTCCAGCAGATTGCGAATTCTGTCGAGAGAGAGATCAATTGACATCTCTACTCCGAGCATTGAGTCAATCATGGTAAGTTATGCAGGCTACATCTTGGGTTGCGTTGGCACCTCACCAGAACATGTGCAGCGAGCAAGCCGTGGGATGCGATGGTGGTTGGTTGCAACTTTCTTCGAGCTCTCGGCTGCGGGTCTAGTGGCCTATCGCGACAATAAGGTTCATGCTGTCCTCCTTCGAATTTCATCTCCCGCGGATTAACTGCTTAATCTCAGTGACCTCCGTAACATTCACCGGCACTATATAAGCAGCCCTAGACTGCCACTGCTGCGCTACTGGCATATGATTGCGTAGCGCATACGAGGATTCGAGAGCAACTTAGCGCTCATCGGCTAAGTCCGGCACACTGTTCCGTCCCGGCGTTTCTGCTTACAGCGGTCATACTACACCACCGGGCGACTTCAGATATGCCACTGATATGGAAGGGGGACAGTATGGTCCGCATATAGTCACCGGTATAAGGTTCATGTCAGCGCCGCATGTAGCCGATAGGCAGCGCCCATATTGGCGCCATACCACGTACGACCCTTTCCCCATACCATGACCTTATGGTTTTCATATCGAAGCGATCGACCCCTTTACTGTCCCTCATTCATGTCCATACAATATCGGCTACCGACATTGAATACATATGGGCTCACATGGTCCCAACCCGCAGGCACATGGTGCGGCTGAAACTTGTTAAGTATCCGTGCCGCCTCCCGTACACCCGTATATCAATAGCGGCTTGACGAAAGAAGAGAAATTGTAGTGAGATTCAAAAACTTAGTTGGATAGCACATAACTATTAACCTATCTTTTCAGGTGAACATAAGGCTTACAATGGGCAGCT